CATGGTATTATTATTGACCTCTTATTTAAAGCCAAATATATGTTGCTTTGGGCGGCACGGTAGCTGAGTGAATAGCACTCTCGCCTCTCAGCAAGAAGGTCCTGGGTTCGAATCCTGGTTGGACCAGGGCCTTTCTGAGTGGAGTTTGCATGTTCTCCCCGTGTCTGCGTAGGTTTCCTCCAGGTACTCCGGTTTCCCCTACCACTAGAAATATGTACAATAGGACTGGCAACCCCGCTCCTATCTCTGTGTGGAGTGAGTGGACAAATGCCCAAAATTAACAATTGTAAACCGCTTTAAGACTCAGATTTGCAGTGAAAAGGTGGTTTATAAATAAAAGATTACTTACTTTGCATACAACAGCAAATGCTATATATGTCTAAAACACCAATATTGAAGCTGTTTCCTGTTTCAGTGAAGTATGTATCCATCCATCATCTATCTATTATTATCAATATTAATTCAGAAATTACAGAATTACAGAGACAATGCAAATCAATATTTACATGAGATTCATAAGGGGTAAAAGAAAGTAGGAAGTAGGACTGATCTTGTTTAATGTATTGTAGTGTGTGTGCGTGTGTGTGTTTGTGTGAATCTATCTATTTGTATAAGCCAATGGGATAAGCACAACGTCAAGATAAAAGTAGTAAGTTTATTCATTGGTTTTGGTAGATTACATGAGGTTGGGATTTCCTGGATGATCTGAAGGAAGAGTGTGTGAATAGGTAAGCCTGGGCATCTCTGCTTAGATGGCTGACCTGGCACCGGATAAAGCGGAAGAAAATTGATGGATGGTTGGTATGAAGTGTTTGTCTCGGTTATCTCTCTTGAACTTTGACATCTTTGGCGGCTGAAATAAGCGAATAACCCAACATATTTCAAAATCTTTATTTCTACAGGCCAAGAATATCCTACTCGCCGCTTGAAAGGCTTATGCTAATCTACCCTGGTCCTCTGAGCAAAAGTACTCTCTTACTGCAGAAATATTTAAGACACGCGCAAAGTACATCCAAGCGCACACCAAGAGCGCAGTCGGTTTCCTCTTTTTTGCGCGATAACTCCTACAAAACGCCTGTCATCCGTGCTCAGTAGTTCGCAAGCGGGGAGTCGGTGAAAGCCGATGGATCAATTCAGCACAGAGGAGGCGGTGGCATTCATCAAGTGCTACGTGCTTTGATGTTGACGCTGAGCTGCTGCGTTACATGAGGCCTCTTTTCATCTTGTGCACGTGCGTTTGCGCTATTCCTCTTCATCTTGTGCACATAATTATACATAGATTATATCTTTAAGTGTGGGGTGACATTGGGGTATAGAGTTTTTAAAAAGAGTTATTACCCAATGATATATTTTTCCTAATTTTTTTAACCAGGTAGAAATTTTTATTGGATTTTTTGAGGAAATAGCAAAATAATGTATTGTGATATGTAGGCAGACATACTTATTATCTGTTTTAACTTTTACTAATGGCTACCTGTGGTCATCAGTCTGAGGAAGCACTGATGACCTCAGACTAATTTATTATTTATTATATTGCTATTGCTATTATTCATGTATTGTGTGTTCCTTTTAGTCTCACATTTTAGTGTTTTACTTATTGTATTGTTTTTAGTGTACCCAGTGTTTCCTCTGGAGGAGCCCTCTGCACTGGGAGCAGTGGTCGGCATGGCTGTGGGGGTCGGACTCTTGGGCCTGGTGGGGGCCTGGGGCCTCGGTTTCGGGTCTCCTCTGGGTCCTGTGTCGTCCCCTGTGGCTACGGGCGGCTCTCTGCTCCTGGTGCAGACGGCTCCTTGGATGACGCTTTTTCAGCTGGTTGCATCTGAACCCTGCCAAGTCTCTCATCATGGTTTTATTGTTTTACTGGTGTGTGTGTATGTGTGTGTGTGTGTGTGTGTGTGTGTGTGTGTGTGTGTGTGTGTGTGTGTGTGTATGAGTGTTCATGAGCGCGTGTGTGTGTTTGTCTGTGGTTTGGGGTGGGTCTGTTGGGTGGTCTGGGGGAGGGGTCTTGGGTCGGCGGGATTGTTTTTAACCAAACTGTAAAGCACTTTGTGTTGCATCTTTTGTATGAAAAGCGCTTTATAAATAAAATTTGATTGATTGATTGATATAAACAGTACACAGCTTATAGATAAAAAACATGATTCCTCTTGTGATAGAAACTATACTGGAAACTCACTGCATATTCCCAAATTTGAACTATTCCAGGTTCTTTTTAATCTCTACTATGCTCCTTGTGAGGATGGTGTATGAAAAACAACATTTTGAAATAATTACTTACAACTAAAAGAAATCTGGTGGTGGCAGCATCATACTGTGGACCTACTTTTCTTCAACTGGGACAGGTAAGAGTGTCAAGAGTTGATGGGAACGTGGATCGAACAAAATACAGGACAATCTTGGAAGAAAATCTGTCGGAGTCTGAAGTCTCTGTTTTCAAATGATCAACGAAGCAATATTTAGAAACTACTGTTGTCAAGAACTCTACATAAGTAAGAAAGTAAGTCAGTAATCTTTATTCATTTGTAAGTACATGTAACGTTTAGAAGAACAGGAAACAATTTAAATCTCTTAATGTACAATATTGGTAGATAAATACCCACAAAGTAATTGATTTTTTCTTTGAACACTTTTGCACCTACACTAGTTTCACAATTGTCTGGCACTTTGGTATTGCCCCAAAGAAAAAAAACTCTTATGTTTGTGGTCTTAATGAGACAAAATGAGAAAGTGTTTGGGGTGTGAATACTGCATTCTAAACTCTTCTTTGAAGACTTGTTTTTGTTGATGGGTATTTTGCATATTATGAAATCAATACCACACTTCATCTCCTCATCCATTTCTTATTTTATTAGACTTTTATGGGAGGGCAAATCCGTTTTGGCATTTCTTGTGCATGTGCATACTGACCTCTAGTGGAGTTAATGATGTGGGCCTATAATGCTGACCTATATGAATACAAAATACTCTATTTCACACTCACATGTATTCAAATAGGCTACTAAACACGTTGCAATCCTTATTAGGCTCTATTGACACATAACTAAACAGACAGACACTACTTGTTCTCTAATAAAGAATATTGAAGTGGTATAGTAATAGTAAAAATAAATTTAGCTGAAATCCATAACAGAAAATCATTGTTATATCAATAATTAGTATTTCTTTGATAACCTTTAAAAACAGTTTATTCTTCAGACATGATCAAAGTGCGAGGGTTGCAACAAAGAGGCCTCCATCAGTCCTTATAATCGTTCACTCGAGTCCATGCAAGTGTCAGAACTCCTGAAGTAAATACAGAAGGTTGGATTATAAATCAGTTTGAGGCAAAAAATCATTCACAATAAACTGTCAAGTCATGGAAGCTAATGTTTGACCCTTCAATCAGTCTGAAATAAAATAAAGGCTCTTGTACCGGTTCTGCCTGTTTGAGATCCTCATGTCAATAAGGCGTGTTTGGGTTGCATTATTTCTCTTTGTGTGGGACACATTTAGCTCCAAACATCCTCCAGGCAGCTACAGTATGCAAATTCTGTGAAACCACTTTTTTTTTCATTTTGTAAAAGTATGGGAGAAAAACATGACCCACCTATAAATCTACAGGGCCATTTGGAAATGTACAATTATTGATAATTTTAAACCATAATTGTGCACAGGTGGAGCTGGTGAAATGAAACTACTGTTCTCCAAAGAACAAGGTGTGTGTTCGGTTAGTTTGTCAGTGTGTGTTGGTTGAGACCGAGGCTGAAGTGAATAACAACGCTCTTGGACGCTGCTGGTGACAGACACGTTACCATGCAGCTGCGGCAGCAAGGCACTCTGGGGAATATTCTCCAAATGGACTTCTGTGCTGAGCTGTATAAGTTACTTACTTTTATTTCGATTACATTTATTTTTGGATAGCCCTACATCACAACAGAAGTCCTCTCAGGACTTTACAAAGTTGTCAATTCTTCAACACAGGTCAGAGAATCAAACAGATGCATCCCACGTCTGTTGGCCAGGGAAAACAGGTGCTTTAACCAATTCTCCTTTTTGTTACTATACTGACTTTTAAAACAAATAATATAATAGTTACTCCATCACTGGTGCAGTTTATCTGGCCTCAGTCATTCAAAATATAGTATTACACACAAATCTTAGTACTTATTTATAATCCTCAGTGTCTGATCCTCAGCAGGTCATTTAACTATTTTTTTTACTGTGGTCTCTGTCCAAAGATGTACCAGAATTCATTTAGGGTTTTTTTTCCTAATTGTGTGTACACCACAACTCAAGACTTTTTGGCCATTTTTGCTTTATTAAATGCCACGCACAATAGTTCATACTTTAGAAAACACTTTGTACAACAAGCAACAACTCCTGATAGAGAGACAACGGAGTGAGTTTGGCATTTCCATTCAGAACAGTCCATACGTGCTACAGACATATAACTAGAATACAAAAACTCCCTTTACATAAGTTTATTTTTAGTGACGACAATTACATGTGTATAATTCCATTTTCTGTAAAACCATTGAAAACAAAAACTGGCACATTCTTAAATCTTCAAACTGACATTTTGTGCGTTTATCTTGAGTAGTGGCGCTGAAAAGAAGTATACTCTCTCATTCAGCTGTTAAATTGATGTATGAGTTATAATAAAAACAGTGCACAGGCAATGGATGTAAAGACAACGTTAGTAAGAGTAAGTATGGCACATACGGGCAAAGTAAACATTTGTGTCATTCACTTTATCTTGATTATAGAATCAATGGAATGTAGCAAATTATGCTGATGGTATAATTTGGTGTGGAGTCAGAGTATGCTAAGACTTAGCATTGTTATGTGTACTTCAAAAAGCTATATAATGACCTATGAATAAATTAATGATATTGCACATGAATTATTGACAGCTAGTTAACAGTGGGAGACCGGAGTACAAACCGAGAATGAAGGAACCGAGGAACAGAAAAGTTAAGTTGGACTCTCTCACCTCTCAGCAAAGAGGGTCATTCTGTTACTCATGGCTCCATCTGTACAACAAAAATAGGGGTTGCTTAACAGCGGATGCAATATGGTTTTTAAAGAGATATAGCTTAAACACAAACAGGCGCATGTCAATAAATTACAATACAACTACAGTATTAGATTATGGAAAAGATTAAGGTTTTAGCCACAAATCAGGGTAATATTAACAAGATAATTGATTTAAACAGGACAAATCAGTTACATAAATCCAAGTCCTTTCAGTATTATGGCTCTGGTGACTTGCAGTGCACATGTAACTTAACTCAAGGAGAATTTGTCGTTTGTCTTGATGTAGGAGCTGTAATTGAAATACTCCACAGTATATGCAAACAATGCAAAAAGACTAGGTCTGTGGAGAGGTGACACGTTCACAGTATGACTTTATATATAATGTTTTACTGTGAAACATTACACGCAATACAATATCATTTGTAATTTGAATAATAAACAGGGGGATTGTCCCCCACAGTATTCTAATATATTGACAGACCTGAGAAACAATAGCAGCAAGGTGACCAGCATGAACTGCTGTTAAGTGATGAGTGAAAAGTTAACTAAATACAGACATACTCAAACTATGATTAAAAAGTTCAATATTAAAGAACCAGTCATCTTAGAAAGTAAAACATTCACAAGAAATAAAATCTTGAAATATATTACTTTCACTCTGAAAGGATCTTTTCCACATGTTTGTATGTGTCGGTATCAGACTAACATACCTTCAGTCATACACGTGCACTCACATTCGAAGCTTCACTGAACATTTCATAGTGACCATTCAATTTACGAAGAAATTGAGACTTTTATTCATTAAAAAACCCAACTGGGTAGCACACTCTATGACTACTATTATTGCAAGATTTCTAGTGTTCTAAATACAAAAAAATAATACCAGTAAAAAATGTCCCTAAATACATTGGTTTCAAGGGAAATAGTAAAAGCTGTATACTAGCCCACCCACTGAGCGCGAACGACTGATATCATGTGCATAGTCATTCTTAATCTCATAATATCATCCCATAATCTCAATTGTATACGGAAAAGGTTATGAAGGCGCCGTTCATTTGGCGGTGTTGATATAACAAAAATCAAAAAGTAGCCCAAGAACAAATTCAAACATCAATACACTTGATTTGGAGCTGATTTTGTACCCGCTTGTGCCGTTTAGATGTGTGAGTGGGAGTCTGAGAAGTAATCCAGGATGGTACGCAGCTGTCCCAGTCGTTCTTTGAGTGTGGTCAGCGACATGACCGTGGTCTGATAGGCAGGGTCCAACTGGAGGACGGACAGCACCCACCAGCACCACTTGGGACCATCGGGAGAAGCCTGGAAGTTTGGAAATAATAATTTACAGTTACTAGTGAGGTTTTGTCAACTAGAGTAAAAGTAGAGCAAAGAACTACCTTAATATGAGGTGATGTTGAAAATAACAAAGGACCAATAACTTCAAACAAATCTCACTGAGCTGCTCCGTGAAACTAAACTTGATGTGAAGTACCGGTGTAAATCTGTGTCCAGACCGGTGTTCTGCTTGTCGAGTTGAGCTGCCTCAGATGTTTATGATGTAATGCAAACCTGCGCATGCGCGTTTCACGGCAGCCGAAGCAAACCAAGATGGTAGATATAAAGTCTGAGTTGTGTAAAAAGTTTAAATACGAACAAATTAAGACACAAATGTCACATTTAATGCAATTGTAGGCGAGATGGTTTCATGTTGTGATATGTGGGTTCTAGGAGTCAAAGTTTCTTGTAAAGTTAAGTCAACTGCTCCTGTGAAACCACACTGCTACGGTACAGTGTGATAGCAGTACCTTTCCTGTCGAGTTGAGCTGCGGCATACATCATTTTACTGACGTAGGCCGATGACACGGCCTGTGGCTAACGCGACAGCTAACGAGTTAGCCACAGGACGCGTCATCAGGCTACGTCAGTAAAATGATGTATGCCGCAACTCAAGAAAAGACAAGAAAGGGACCGCTATGCTGCTATCATACAGCAGCAGTGTGGTTTCACAGTAGCAGTTGACTGCTTAAACCAAACTTTACACAACATTTTGACTCTTAAAACCCACATATCACAACATGAAACCATCAACATCTCGCCTCAAATTCCATTAAGTGTCTTAATTCGTTCGTATCCAAACTTTTTACACAACTCACCGACTTTATGTCCGCCATCTTGGATTGCTTCGGCTGCTGTGAAACGCACAAGCGCAGGTTTGCATTACATCATAAACATCTGAGGCAGCTCAACTCGACAAGCGGCACAACTTGACATAACACCGGATCATGCGTTGCGACAAGTTTCAATGCACGCACGTTTCTCCCGCACAGCAGGCGCAGTAGAGGCACTGGGTACAGCGGCTAGATGCAGGCAGCGAAAGCTGCAGATGAACGTCCTCGCTTCACACACATGTGGCAACCAATCGGAGAGCAACAAAGTGGTCACAAGGACTCGCGCTGGTCAAATCCTTCGAAAACAACCAAAACATGAGCTGAACCAGGACTGACAATGGGGGATGCGGTGCTTGTGAACTTGCTATGTCTTCACCCTGAGTTGACATTCTACTGTGACTGTAAGCAAGCGCTGTCAACGTGTTCGTCAATGCAGAAGTTTTTCCCCAACGCAGGGCAGAACGTGAGATTGAACTGAACTCATGCAGCTGATATTTAGTAAACGTGCATCCATGCCTTCATCTATGCACATCCATGCATCAGCCGTCAGACCACAGCTTAAATCTCATACAGAGATTTCAGGCTGGATGTCCGATTGTTTTGAGTGAACACAAATAAACGATACAAATATATAACAACCTAAAGTAAGGCATGGGAAAAAAAACTTGAATATAAATTTAATTAATTTGCTACAAAGACAATGGGTGATTTTAAATTTTAAGAATTAATATTAAGTGTTTGTGTTATCACAACCTCAGACCTCAGCCTCCCTCGTAAGGTCTACTCCAAGGTACTGGAGAGGAGATTTCGACCGATAATCGAATTCAGATGCAGGAAAAGCAGTGTGGTTTTCGTCCCGGCCGAGGAACACTGGAGAATATAGAGCTATACTCTCCATTGGATACTCGTGGGATCATGGGAGTTCGCCCAACCTGTCCACATATGCTTTGTGGATTTGGAGAAGGCATTCGACCGTGTTCCTCGGGGTGTCCTTTGGGGGGTTCCAGGGAGTTCGGGGTCAGGGGTCCACCGCTGAGGGCCATCCGTTCCATGTATGACCAGGCAGTAAGTCAGAAAGTGTAGAGGTCCTTCCTCAAGTGGAGGAGTTCAAGTATCTTGGGGACTTGTTCACGAGTGAGGGAAGGAGGGAGTGTGAGATTGACAGAAGGATCGGTGCAGCGTGCGCAGTGATGCGGTCGCTGTATCGGACCGTTGTGTTAAAAGGGGAGCTGAGGCAAAAGGCACTCAATTTACCGGTCAATCTTCATTCCCTCCCTCACCTATAGTCATGAGCTTTGGGTAAGGCCCAAAAAGGATGGGAAAGCAGACACAAGCGGTTGAAATGCTTCCTCCGCAGAGTGGCTGGACGCTCCCATAAGTTGCTTTCACACCGCCGATGCTGGAACACTGACGCCTTGTGCACCAGACGCACATTCTCTAATTTTCAGACGCAGGGGTCTTCAGACCAGAAGTCCTGGCCAGCAGTAGCGCCCGCCGGAAGTGGCGGAAGTAGCGGGCAGACTTTGATGCTAACAGAGTTAAGCTAGTGGCTTTTAGTGTAAAGTTCTTCTCCAATAATGCAGATTTGCAGCGTCTCTGTGTCCAGAGACCTTCCACAGACTTTATAGAACAATAGTAAGTGTTCACGGAGGTGCACCATACGTTTATTTTATCATTAGTTATCATCATGTTACTTCCGCATCGGCGAACACGCTCGAAGCAGTTGCATAAAGTCACGGGAGCATGAAAGCGCATACTGCATTTTCACAAGCACTATGTCCCCCATTGTCAACCCTGGTTTAGTCCTGGTGTAGCTTCTGTTTTGGCTGTTTACAGTATGTTCAGTCTGCTCGCTCAGACCACTAATGTCCCCGTGACCACTTTGCGACTCTGATTGGTCGCTGTACAAGCGTCCCGAGGAAAGTTCAGCAACATGTATGTCCTGCGTGCATCGATATTCTGCTCCTGTGCCTCTGCCGCGCAATCCGTGCGTGCCTCCCGAGTCGCACATGCAGTTCGACAATTGAACGCGGGTCACCATTGACTTTGCATTGAAAGTCGACACAACGCATGATCCGGTGTGAAAGCACTATTAGAGATCGGAGTTTATGAAACATGCTATGATCCAAACATTCAGTTGGGCTCATAACTTTACACGACCTAACAGAACAGGAGAGAGAGGTGTTTACCTGAATGTCGTCCTCCTTTTGGGGCAGTTCCCCGTACTGTCGGATGACCTGAGCTCGGAGCTGTGGGCTCAGCCGCTCGCACCAGTTCTGTGCCTGCGTGTAAGTATGATCATGCATCCTCTGCAGCAGCTCTAGCTCACCACTCGCTTCAACCTTTGCATCCAAACATATACACTTAAAACCACTAACAATCAACCATCTCATTTCAGGTATGCTCACGGACTCCACATTACCTTTGTGTCTTCAATGTACTCAATATCTGCAGTGTGGTATCCGTCTCTTTGACTTCTTCTCAACACTTTGAACCGCTTTCCTCCCATTGTTTCCACATATGAGCGTCCGTCAGGTAATATCTCAGAACGAAGAATTTCCAGCATGCATCCATATTCAGAAAACCTAAAAGAAAAGGCAAGACCATATCGGTGCAATTGAGGAAATGTATCTGCATGTTACGCGCCCAGGTATGGGATTGCGTGCACTCCTCCCCTTGCTCTAACATTACAGTGTGCAGGGTTGGATTGGCTGAGGATCTGCGCTGAGACTTTAAGAGGGGCGTCCCAGACAGCACTCTCGCTCTCTCTCCCCGATTGCAGACACCTGGACCTGTCCAAAGGGGCTGGGCCTGCATACCACGCCGCCATTCAGGCCGCTCTACACTTTCACACATAAGATTATCCCACTGACACTCATTCGCACACACGCACCACAGCACACCCCAGACCATTTCCACCAATTCCATATTATTGTTTGAATAAAACTGCCAGTGAGCCTTCCAAGTCTATGCCGTGTCCTCCCTCCTTTTTGTTGCCTCCCCGTGAGCCAAGGGGAACATAACACTGCACAACGATGAAGCGTACAATTTGTGAGACAACATTAACACGACTGCACTGAGCATTGAAACTACTTGAATAAGATGTTACGTCATGTCAGTACAAGCTGTTTGCCACGTGAAGTCTGCCAAAGCGGCAAGAATCACAACTGCTTCTATTTGCATTGTGTAATGTGTTGCATAACGATTTTGGAGTATTATATAAAAATAACAGCCAGAATGCAGAATACACGTGAGAGCAGTAGTAGTAGCACAATCTGATAAAACTTTATAAAGAATGCAAGAATTGATTTTGTAACATTCAAGGGAAAACAAAAACCCCTTCCCTCAGATGGCGTATCTCTGCCAAATGTTACACAGTGTATCTTAAGCGTCTCATGAGGTGTAACTATCACTTACACTTTAAAGATTTGTATGCCTGCCTATACAGTATATCTATTTTATTTTATTTTCTACTTTTTTATAACTTGTTTGCTCCATGAGCCATAGAAAATTCCCAGTTGACTTCCTGTTACTTGCCAGACTGACCATCAAAATACTGTATTGAAAAGGTTCGTGCATCTCACCCTGTGTCTTGCTGGTAGGAGCACATGCCAAACTTCTTTGTTCCCGTCTCTATGCAGCGGCGCATCATGAGCCGATAGCGTGGCTCGAAGATGTGCAAGGGGCAGGCAATCCCCGGGTACGCCACCGTGCACACAAAGATCGGGATGTCCTTAGTCAGGCTGGAAAGGACAGAAGGACAGCTCATAGCTGAGTACATTTCACAAAACATTTGCATGGGGGTGGAAACATTATTTGGGGCTGTTTTTCTGCAAAGGGACGAGGACGCTAGATCAGTGTAAATGAAAGAATGACAGTATTGTGATATTGAATTGTAATATTTTGAGTGAAATCCTCCCTCCAAAGCTCCCAAAAGATTATTATTAGGACAGCGACATTGTTATGTATAGTGAAGAAAAGTCTGATCATACAATTTAACTGAAAAACCTTCTGGCCCCTGGAATGTCTAAATCATAATGTACCTTCGATAAGCCAAACATTTCTCTCACTCACCAGTTGGAGCATATTTATATTTTGTTTAGTGTGCCCTCAAATGTAATGTCCAATATAAAGTAGATTTGAAGACCTTGAGCAAAGTGAAATTTAATGCATGTTCAATGATTTAATCTCTGCCTGGTGATAGTGGTTCATCATATTTCCTGGTTAAACCTTTTTTTTTGTCTTTAGTATGTAATAAGAACATTTACTGGCGTCACGTCATTTTAAGTGGCGTCACCGGCGGCACGGTGGCTGAGTGGAAAGCACTCTTGCTTCTCAGCAAGAAGGTCCTGGGTTCAAATCCCGGTCGGAACAGGGCCTTTCTGAGTGGAGTTTACACGTTCTCGTGTCTGCGTAGGTTTCCTCCGGGTGCTCCACTTTCCCCTACCACTAAAAATATGTACAATAGGTATGAATGTAATGAGTGATAGAATGGATGGTGTTGGTCGAGGCTTTGATGCGCCAATGTGGTCGACGTCTCGCTTCTGTAATCATCATGTGTGAACGTAAAACTATCTGATATCTGAACATTGTAAAGCGCTCTGGGTGACCTTTGTCTGTAAAATGTGCTACAGTATATAAATACTTAAGTAAGCAAAAGGTTCAGGAAACAGCAGGTAGTATTTATGCTCATTATTATTATTTCTAAACTTAACTTCTGATGTATATTTAAGTGATTGTCTGGAGTTTGTCAGAAAAAAGAGAAAGCGGTACATGATTTAAAAATGACCAAGCTCCCTCCCCCTTCCGTTCTGATTGGTCTACGCCTACATTTCTGTAACAATCAATCAACACATTTAAATGTTAATCGGAGAACACATTATACATACACATTATTAATGCACATGCACGGAGGTTTTCAGAATTATTTGTTAACGTTTTCATGACAAAAATAATGTTTTAATGCACAAAAAAGCGATCGCGGTAAACCCGGAAGTAACTATTATCGTTAATTGAACATTATAGGACAAATTATGGATATAGGTTCAGTATATAAATGATTATGGATATAGGTTCAGTATATAAATGATTATGGATATAGGTTCAGTATATAATTGATTATATAGGTTCAGTTTATAAATGGGTGACTCAGCGCAGATGTTCAGAATTCTTTTTTCAGTTTTCATGTAGTTACAGAGACTAATGGAGGCTTGATTTGGAGGCACTGTGAAAAACAACTGAGCATGCGCGCAGCTGCAAGAACGAGCACCGATAATTGACAGCCCTTGGCATCACTTGATTGGTTAAACTGGACGGCATCGTGTTTTTTATCTATAGCCAAGAGAAGGGAAGGCAGGATTTACCCGTAATATTAGAATTCATAAAATGACTTATTTTATATCAACATTTAAGGCCAGTAAGTCCATTTAATACAATTCCTAAAATGTGTAATTCTTTTAGAGTTCCAGACTATCACTTTAACTTGCTTAAACTGGGATTATGTCACTTACTTTGAGAGCTCGGCCATCCCTAGGTTGTGGATTTCTTTCCTTTCTGCCAGTTGGGATGGGAACAAGAGTGTCAACATGTCCTGGAGCACAGCTGTCACATTGAACTTCCTGCTTCTGAAATACTAAAGGACAAATAGCGCTATGAGCAACAACCTAAAAATCCCCTTGTAATCATTGTGTTATCTCGTGTTAGCATGTGGGTACCTCCTGCAGTGGCTGCTTGCAAAGCGGGCAGCGAAGGTTGTGGTCCAAACTTCTTTCCAGGCAGTTTTTACAGAAGGTGTGACCACAAGGTGTCGTGACGGGCTCAAAGAACAACCTTGAAAACCCAATAACACACGACGTGAATAAACATGTTTATCAGCCGTGTGGAACTCCATTTAGACAGAGGCTGTGAAAATAAGTACAGATGCTGATATATAAGGCTACCAAAATGTACTGTCCAAAAACTGTCCAAGATTATGTGACTCCGATCAAAATGATTCTCTTTTTATTAAGCCTATCTGATTAGTATAAAAGTATAAAACATACAAAGTAGATTTATAGTAGTAAAAGTTAGACTCTAAAGTACACACTCATGCACAAGCTCTCAATGGCAATTAGGAAAATATCCAAAGTAACACACAAAGCTTGAACACTTGTGTATCTTTAGTCCTATACTGACCATGAAACAGTATTTTTGTCCTAAGACCACAGCTGCAGAAGCACTGACCTGATGCAGAGTGGGCACTCAACATCGCCGACATCGAGGAGGCTCAGGGTGTTTTCTCGGCTCGCGCTGCATTTGGCTAAAACAAGACGGAAAAAAGATTGTTACAAGAGGAATCCAACCATATACTGTACATTCATACTGAAAAACGCATGTCGGGGCAATCATTGAACACTGTAGACAGATTCAGAAATGCATAACTTTTTACACAACTAATTTCATAACGTAAACAAATTCCAAGAAATACAAGGTTCACAAAAATCAATGGAGGTGCAAAGTAAGATAATGTGTGCAATTTCCCTGGTTTAGTTCTAAAGGACGAGTGCATGATAAATGAGGTAAATCAGGCCCAGAGTGTAACAAGTAAAATCTGACTAATGACTAATTCTCATTACCACAAGCGGGTTTTTATTGCAAATGGAAAAAATAAACTGAATCTGGCAAATGACAAGAGTTTAATTTTTATTTTGCAAATCATTTTAATTTTCTTGTATTTTAGAATATTAACTTCAGGTTAATATTCAGTGTTTCAATGCACTTATACATTTACTTAATTTGTTCACACCAGTTTTCTTAACAAATGGTTACGCATGTCAGAATTAGTGCTTTTACATAACAGTACTGACTATTATCCCCTTCTACCCATTACTAGAGAAACAGCCCATGCAGCCCTTGAGCGCATTCAACAGTGGCTTAAACTGGGTCTAACTGGATTTAACAATAGCATCGGTATAGTGGAGAACATGGGGCAGGACACCTAAATGTGAATGAATAAATACATAAAATAACTACAGTAAAACTAATAAAAGCATTTCTTATATAAAGCATTCAACAAATTATTACCGTCTAATCTGCAGCGTTTCTTTACGACTCCTGAGCGAGCTCATAACTTGAGAGTTTTTGGATATTTTTCACTGCCAAGATCAAAAACCACTCGTAAATGTTTTTGTCTGTCTGTATGTGGAGTAAAACTTTGGAACGAACTGGACTCACAACATAAGCAATGTAAAACTATTCATCAATTTAAACTGTTCTATAAACATAAGGTTAATATACAATATAGAGATGAGGGTCTTTAATTTAATCAGATTTTCTCTGTCTCATAGTGTAGCATGTGCTCAATGTCCCTTTACCATTGTTGATATATCGAATCTTGCTGTTGTTGCTTTTCTTTTTTGTTCATTACCATTGTTGGTATGTTATCTATTACCATTGTTGGTATTAATTGTTGTACATTTCCTTGTTGCCCATGGTAACGCCATCATGATATAACACTGTAAATAATGCTTGAACAACAGTGAAGTTGATCATTTAATCACTGAATGGGGATAAAGGGGTGGGATTAAATACGTTTTTTCTTCTTCCCGCTCCTTTTCAGGCAGAATTATATTGGCCAAGTTTATACCGTGCATTTATTGTTTATAAAAATGTTTGTGTATTATGTGTTTTTGTTTATCGAGTTTTGTTTGTTTTTTTGCACTATATGATTTATATTATTTAACTGCATTTAATTACCTTATTTACTCACCTGTGCCATCGCCTGAAATAAATGAATAAATGAAAAATGAAAATAAATGAAAAAAGTGAATTTCACTTCAATTGATTGAGTTTAGTTACTTTGATACAAGTTACTATTTCTTCCACAGTTTAAACATTTGATATAAAATGGAGGTATTGCCATTGCTTTTTATTTATTTATATTTTTTACTCAAGATGCTATTATAGAATTGTTTAACTTCAGAAATTCTTGTGAAATGCTCCTTATCAGACGTCTGGATACCTGTGCACGGCTCGATCCCTCTCATCTGCTCTTCGTCTGCTGCAGCTGGGCTCGCGGTGACGCTGGCCTCCCCAACATCCTCGTCCACCTTTGGAACATTCAGAGATTAAGAGCGCTGTTCATTGTATTCACTAAAACAGCCATTCCCAAACTCAGTAACACCGAGGCCCCCTTAAAAATCTGACGGGTCTGCGTGGCCCCCCAAAATAATAACCAAGAAGACAACATTAAGAATAGGCTCTTCTGGTTATTTTATTTTGGGGAAATAGCCTCTGCTACAAACATTGTAATACAAAAATGATTACAGTGGATTATTCAAGTCAAATAATGAACACAAATATTTTAATATTACAAACAAAACATTATAAATTTAACATTAAATATATATATATTTTTTTTTATGACTTCCCGCGGCCCCCCTGCAGTACCCTCGCGGCCCACCAGGGGGCCGCGGACCCCACTTTGGGAGACACTGCACTAAAATATTGTTGTTACAGTTTACTCAATGTTTAAAGGAGCAGTATGTAAAAATCTGGCCAAAAGTGGTACTGTTACCTCTCCCACTCTCCCTGACTCAGGTTGCCAGATATGCAGACGAATCCAGCAGGGAACATAATATCTGTATGTACAAGAGTTTTGTCGACAACAAATCTATAACCAACACCTTTTTTCACAAAGGCCCCGATAGTAATCCTCAAAAATATTGCTTGTTTTTTCATTCATGATTTTAGAATCAAAACAACACCTTTTTAGTACTGCGGCCACATTGGACTTCACCAGTGAGATAAGCTCAACGCGGTAAGTTCTGGCAACCCAGATCCCAGACTTTCTGATTCACACCAACAGTGATGAGAACGAGGCAGAATCTGCAACATGGGTCTCTGAATCATTATTTGAGTCTGTCACAGCAGTGCATCTACTGTATAGGTGATGTGGCAGATGCTGTGTTTTGCCTGCGTGGGTATAAAACATGTAAATGCTTTACAAAACGTGCTAATACTGTGCAACAAAAAACAAAACAAAAAAACTCATCTCCTGTTGAGACTCACTCCCAGACCTCTGCATCATTTGTCATTTGAGTGTATGAACAATATGTGGACATCGTGGTGGTCACCTGCAGAGGATATGACCCGTCCTCGCCCTCCGCACCTCTTGGGGGCTCGTGGACGGACAGCTCCATACTGCTGAGGGAAAACGGCTCTTTCAAAAACTCAGACACGACCTGCAGGAAAGCGGGCATCTCCTCCGGCACCAACACACCCTCGGCCTCCAGGATCTGTCAGATGATCGTGGCTTTAGCAAGAGTGCACTCCAGAAATAAACATTCAAAATAAGATGAGAAACGGTGACCTCTTCGACAAAAGTGATTGATTGTCTTGCCAAATTGGGAACAGACAGTCCGGTATTTAAAGAGAAGAGGCTACTGATAAATAATTAACTAAAGAAATAACATAGCTTTTAAAATGACTTGAATAAAATAACAAACTTCTGCAATTTCCCTGGGTTAAGGTTAGGGTTAGGGCGACAGTAGCTCAGTTGGTAGAGCATTCACGACTCCCGCTGATGACTGCTGTCGTTGTGTCCTTGGGCAAGACACTTAACTCCACTTTGCCTGAAGCTCCCACTGAAAGATCTCACCTCCTGTGGACTCACCACCTGCAGGAGGATCAGTGAGGGGCTGGTGCTCTGTGTACTGGGTGCAGCTCTGACTGCCACCCCCCCGACCCAGAAATGGATTATGGGGAAGAAAAAATGGATGGATGGATGGATATATAAAAAGGACATCATGCCACATAATTTGTATTTATCTTATTGTGGATTATATTTTTCTTTTATTATTATTATTAGTTTCTGATCGAAAGAAATGTACTCCCCTTTTCAGCCATCATTTCACATGGCTTAGACCAGAAAGATTTGAAAGTAACGTTTAAGAAAAGGACAAACGTTTGAGATGGTATTGGACAGACAGAAGACAAGTTTTACTGATGATGGTAGAGACAGGCACAAACAGAAATGCTACAGAATGTAAGTGATATTATAGCAGATAGTCCAATCAGCATTTGCCACAAAGCCAGTGGCTTTGGCCTTGAGGTAACACTTAACCAAAACAAGTGGAAAAGTACCAGTTCCAGTGTCATATGTTAAAACGATTCATTCAGCTTAAAACGATTCATTCAGCCACGGTTGCTATAAAATGTCATGAAATATCCAAAACATGATGTCTCGAAGTAAAAAACTACTTTTTTTGTGTGTATTCTATGTTTGTTTTTGTATGTGAGTGTTATTGTCTTGTACGTAAAAAACAACCAAAACATGAACAATATATATGAGAAAGAAGGACAGAAAATGTTTTGATTCTTGTACAAAAAATAATGAAATAAACTGCTTTATGTTGTGCATCGGTGATTTCTAACTGTGTCTAACTGTGTATATGTATTGAACAACTAATTTAAGTGGTCACTTAAAGGTTGTACTGTAAAACTACTGAACTCTCTTTGACCCATGACTGTATTTACATGAATCCAAGACATATGATTAGATAGTGAACCTACCTTTTTTATCTGGCTCTTTGCAGGGAGGAAGTCGGCTTGGATTTTTAGGCATCGGTGAAAGTGGAAAAGCGCTTGTGTCTGTCGACCCATTTCCAGCAGTACATTCCCTTTACAAAACTGCCCCTGCACAAACAATAGTGACATGTTTTTATATTTGCTAAATCGAGGGGGAAAAACACAAAATCAGAGCTCAGCAGACATTAATCTTTGTTAATGTTGTAAAGCTACTCATAGATAGGACGCAGCTTGCCAAGCCAAACTGACGTAACAGCAATAAAAACATTATTGAATAGTATACAACCTTGCCTTGCGATACGCCAGTTCCCGACTGCGTCATTATGGCTTCTCAATGTTGATCATATGTAAGCAATGTATCATTTTGTGAATTAAAAGATAGTCATCACGCATATTTACCTCAGTCCAGTGGGGTCGGAGGCCGCTAAGGTAGTCGAGGTCGTGCAGTGCTTCTGGTAGTTGTAAAAGGCCCACGTTGGCTTCAGCTCTGTACAACTTAAGACTGGGGTCTTCTGGGACTGTGGGGAAAAAAAGAGCCATACATCCTTCACCATAAAACACAAAGTTGAGAATGTGATCATTGTCTCTGCATTCATGGAATTAGCCTAGCATTTAAATCTACAATCCTTTCACACATAGACTACAAGAGAATAGCCTATTTGGTATTTGGAATGTTGTGAAATTTGTCATTCTTAAACTACACAACCCATTTAGTTAATGACTATCACATCCATAAAATGAGGTCAAATGAATGCTAAAAAGATACGTTAACATAATATCTGGGTCAAGATTATAACAGTTCTTAAGAATTCAGTCCTACAATATTAAAGAAGCAACAGTAGGATTGTCAAATAAACGAAAATCATGAATTGATACTAAAACTAGTACAGAAACAAGATCCTAATCCGTGCAAGTATAGACACGAATTACATAAACAAGAGAACATTTGACATTTCTTGAGCACGTTTTGATGAATATATAAAGTAGATCAGATGGCCTTCAATACAACCGTGTAGCTTCATGACTATTTAAAGTATTTTATTTTAATATTTTTGATTGGAATTCATTATGTATTTATAATAACACATAGCTGTGGAATATTATTATTCTTCCTTGCATGGAAATAGATCTTAAAGTATCGCGACAAGACTAATAGACTGTTTGCTTTGTCCTCAGCTGCAGAATGTGCTCTTGTGAATGTTGTTACCAAAGTGGTGAGCGTCACTTGTTTTGCGTCTTGCGTCGCTCTTACCCAAGTCGAGGCCGTCATCGATGATGCGTAAAGCCTCCATGAAGTGACCAGCTTTCATCTTCTCCTGGATGCGGTGTCTGGTCTTCACCTCTTTGGGACAACACTTTTCCACCGCACTGATCAGCAGCACGTTGTTTTTCGTCGCGTTCACGTCTCTCGGTTTCAGAGTCTCCTCGCACTTGGGGCATTTGGACGGGAGATAACTGATGCATCTCCGGCAAAACGTGTGACCACAAGGCACAGTGACCGGCTCGCACATCAGGAAACAGCAGAGCGGGCATTCGAGCAGATCCATGCTGAATGACGTAGATTAAAACGTAAAAAAAATATTGTAAAAAATGAAAAGTAATGAATAAGGCTGAGCTCGCTGCTTTTCAGTATCAGGCGGCTGCGACGTGTCCTTCTGTTGTCCCTACTTCAAAATAAAACTACAAACTGTGTCGTAACTGAAAGCGATCGATCCCTACACAAACTACACACTTTTGCTCACTATTTTGCGTTGGCATTACCTGATAGCTGTCCAGAATCGGTTGCTCCACGGGTGTGAGTAGAATACATAGAAATTCAAGTGCATCAAGTTGTGTCGCTGCAAACGTGGACTATTACAACATAGGTCCGCGTTGGGAAGAAGTTATGGAGCCACTCCGTGTCCGCTTTTACCTCCAGCAGCGACGATAGCCACAAAAGAGGTTACTAACACAAATGCATTACATAAATAAAAAATCATGTGACCTGCTACGAGCCACGCGATTGGAGGAGAGGAGGGTTCTCCGCCCTGTTGTGAAACGAGAGGATGTAGAGTTTCGTAACATAATTTCTCCTACAAAAGTCCCGTTATGAGCCATTAAACCATAACAACGTCATAAACGTGGATTACATTAGTGCACAGCGAAAACTGAAGCAGACATTGCCTTTTTAATCCATGCTTTTGCAAAGGGCAATCCGAGTCACGGAGAAGGGAATCCCGTACAGCAGCGGGAGGAGGAGGGGGAGGAGGAGGGGGAGGGGGAGGGGGAGGGGGAGGGGGGCGGATCGATCAGAGACAGTAAATATGCTTCTGTTCTTCTCGCCTCAACACATTTGTCTCACTGCATTCCACAAAAGCACATTCAGTATCGTGTTATATTATATTTGAATATATAACTTCAGCGTTGGTTTCGAAACGAGGTATTAATGTCATAAATGGTGGATTACACAAGTTATTTTTCAGGTCAGAGGGGCAGATTCAAAGGTTTTTCGCATTAGACGAGGACATGTCACGTGTATCGAGTGACACTTGCTGGAGGGGAAAAGATTGATAAATGCGTCTCATTAGGTGTCACTTTACAACTCATATTCACGCCAATAAAATGGTCTGTCTCCCTCTTTGTTTCGTAATGAAATGCTGTGAAACAAAACCTTCAAGAAAAGATTGATCTGCTTTGTTATGCTGTTACAATATGTAACAGTTCTTCTGTTGAACCTTGTAAAACTACATAAGTTGTGGGTGTGTGTCACCACAAAAAGAACAGATTCAACTTGCTCCTAGCTCTAAAACCAGTTTAAGTCTATCTGCCACTATTCTAATAAATAAAAATATTGCCAGAATGGTGTGATCTGACTTGTTGACAATGTGACTAAATTAGACTCTGTTAGGAGAAACAAAAAAATGGTACCCAGCTAAAAGGTAATCTCAAGTTAGTAAAAGGACAGCCTTCCTTGCAAAAAATACATTGGAAATGCAATGTTTTAGCATTAAGCCTTCGTCAAGCAAATATGATGGAGGGTTAACGCTGAAACGTTGCATATATCCAATTAGGGCTGCACAATATTGGAAATTAGAGATTTGAAGTTTTCTTATAAGGAGACTGGACTTTCATTTATTCATTCATTCATTTTCAACCCCCTTTAGGGGGTGGGGCGGGGGGGGGGGGGGGTTAGTCCATTTCTGGGTCGTGGGGACGGGTGGGGGGGAGGGGGGGGGGGTGGGGGGGGGGGGGGGTGGGGGGGGGGGGGGGGGGGGTGACAATAAGGGCTGCCACCCAATTTTCGAAATGGTTTTTATACATTTGTTACAAATTCTGCCATGACACTATTTTTTCAATATATTGCGCAGCCCTATAGCCAATAAATGTTTCACTTTGCAAGTAAGATGGTGTGCAGGAATAATTCTAATTCAACTGTAGGCTGTCAAGACGCTCTCGATCTGGAGGAATTGATGTTTGAATATCCATTACATACAAGTTAGTAAAAGTGAAAAAGATAAGTTATAATTTTATTAACTTAATAAGTGGCATAATTTTGGGCAATACACACTGTATAGTCTGTAGTATGTATAGAGTCAGGACTTGAAAGCCTGAAAGTTTTACTAATATACTTGGTCTTTGTTTTAAACAAAAACTCTTTTTCATTCATGTATTAATTTACAGCAACACACATATTGCACCTGTTGTCAATAACTGTCAATAACTGCCTTTAATTGTGTGTAAATAAAACAAATTCAACATGACTTTTGAAAATCAACAAAGCACATGCGTGTGGACACTGTGTTTTAGGGTCACGACCTAGTTAGTTTGAAAGTTGGGTACAGCAGCTTTACACATAATATATAGTGACAAATGCAATGACTTCTGTAAAATGGAAGATTTTATGTGTCGTCAGATTTTGAATTTTTTTAGCTTGAATTTTTCCGTTTGAAATTTTCAACCCTGAAAAAGCAAGTTTGAATATTTTTATCTTTACTTTTCAGTCACTAAAAATTCAGTTTACAAATTTAAATGTGATTAAAATTTCAAAATGACATATTCACCCTCAAAATATTCAATATATTTTATTTTTCAATGTAAAAAAAACAGACTGATTATTTGTTCCATCAGAAATTGAATTTTAAATGGACCTGAATTCATCTATTTGAATGTTTTTAACATCTTGAATATTTTTTTCTGTGAATTTCAGTCACTGATTATCAATTTCATAATGTCAAATTCAACAGTCAAAATTCAACAGTCGAAATTCAACAGTCAAAATTCAACGAGAAAAAATTCAATGGTGAAAAATGTACATGACACATCCGGTGTTCTGACGAGTTACAGGTATGTGCTCTGTTAGTTGGTCTGCGCATGCGTCATTTTACTGAGGTAAAGACTGGCGCTAGCTTTCAGCAGGTCTATCGGTTGATAACATGAATCTAACAGGTCGATATGGGATTTCTAATGAATGGATTGTAATGAAACCAAGGCGAATAACAAGATGATACTATATTAATTTGATGAGTTAGTCTTTTTGGGTAAATGTGCTCGTTTCAAATCATTATAGCTGTATATTCCTGTTTATTTATTTAGGCTGTGTGTGTTTGTGTTCATGAAAACCATCACATTTGAACATTTATAGCAACAAAGGACAGTGTTATTGTTGGTTACGTTACACAGTATCTGGGTCTAGTTTCCCATGTAGCAGTTTCCCCAGGGCTCACTCGTGTTACTTGAAAAAGAGTTCCACCCAAAATTCTCTAATGCAATCCTGTTTTACAATTGTAAAAAACAATCAAAATATAATGTTTTTGGAAACTAAGCAATTTCATCAATAATACTACACATGGCAGCGTCTTTGTCCCAGATTTTATCCCGTTTTTGACTAGTTGTTTGTTTGTCTGGCTGCGTAGATGCCATACAGCTGGCTCCTGCCTCTTCTACATCCATAGGCTCAGTCTTCATTCTGGGAGTTGTGGTAGTGGGTGCGCTCCTCACAGTATCCCCAGTGTTTTCTGATCCATCAATTTGTGGTAAGTCGTCAGGCAGCGAGGCAAGGCAGCCCTGGATCATCTCCACAACTCTCTCCAGGTGCTTCTGAAAGCGCTCAGCTGTTTCTAGCCTCTGTCTCTTCTGGACCTCCATCATGACCCTCAGCGTCTCCCGAGCTTGATGTGGTCTGTATTCATTTATCAAGTGATGCATATGAACAAACAATAGTTTTATGTCTTCCATCTTTTCCTCACGCTTTATACTGCCAGGGCTTTTAATGAGAATGTCCAATAAGTCTAGGAAGTTTATGAGTATAGACATGTTGAGTTTCTTGAGTTCACGTTTGTGATCAAACTGTACTGGGTGCAGTCTTTCGATGCCTTGACTCTCCAAAGGGCGAATGATTAGATCATCACACTGGAACTGGTTCCCAAACATCATATAGCTGTCTGTGATAGGTGGAGGCGGTTTAGGAGCCAGACCTTTTCGGATGTTTTCATCTGTGTATTCTTTGATGTATTGCATGGGTAGGGGCAGAAGGGCACTGACCTGCTGTGGTTCACCCATGATTCTTTTCTGAAAAATAAAAAAAGGCTTACATTATATTAAACAAGTTTAAGCTTCCTCCGCAGAGTGGCTGGGCGCTCCCTTAGAGATAGGGTGAGGAGCTCGGTCACACGGGAGGAGCTCGGAGTAGAGCCCGCTGCTTCTAGGCCCCGGGGAAGACCCAGGACACGCTGGAGAGACTATGTCTCTCAGCTGGCCTGGGAACGCCTAGGGGTCCCCCCGGACGAGCTTGAGGAGGTGTGTGTGGATAGGGAAGTCTGGGCGTCTCTGCTTAGACTGCTGCCCCCGCGACCCGGCAACGGATAAAGCGGAAGAAAATGGATGGATGGATGGATGGATGCTGGGATCGTCATTTTTGTTTTCATCACGCATGGTGATATGACGGATATGCCACCTGCTTGTTTTTTTTTTTGCATGGTAGCTAGCTCTATTAATTTGGAACCTTACACTGGTGTCGCCACCTAGTTGTGGAAATAAACTGTTTGAATCTTCAGATACCTCACAGTACATAGTATCAGAAATTCGAGTAATCCACACATTCATATTTGGCATGGACATGTCATGTGTCATGTGTTGTCATGGACCCTCCTGTGGGCCCACCACCTGCAGAGGGGTCCGTGGTGGCGAGGTGCAGCGAGGACTGGGTAGCAGTCGAAGGCGGAGACCTCGACGACCCAGTCCACACACCCAACATCTGGCTCTTGGGACGTGGAACGTCACCTCACTGGGGGGGAAGGAGCCCGAGCTTGTGGGGGAGGTTGAGCGATACCGACTAGAGATAGTCGGCCTCACCTCCACACACAGCTTGGGCTCTGGAACCCAACTCCTTGAGAGGGGTTGGACGCTCCACTTTTCTGGTGTTTCCCGTGGGGAGAGGCGGCGAGCTGGGGTGGCCATACTCATTGCCCCCCATCTCAGCCGCCACGTGTTGGAGTTCTCCCCGGTGAATGAGAGGGTCGCGTCCCTCCGCCTCCGGGTGGGGGACAAGTCTCTCACTGTTGTGACGGCCTACAGGCCTAACGGTAGTGCAGAGTACCCAGCCTTCTTGGAGTCCTTGGGAGGGGTACTGGACAGTGCACCGCCCGGGGACTCCGTTATTCTCCTGGGGGACTTCAACGCCCAATGTGGGAAATGCCAGTGACACTTGGAGAGGGGTGATCGGGAAGAACGGCCCCCCTGATCTGAACCCGAGCGGTGTTCAGTTGTTGGACTTCTGTGCCAGTCACGGCCTGTCCATCACGAACACCATGTTCGAGCACAAGGGTGTCCATCAGTGCACGTGGCACCAGGACACCCTAGGCCGGAGGTCGGTGATCGACTTTGTTGTTGTATCATCTGACCTTCGACCGCGTGTCTCGGACACTCGGGTGAAGAGAGGGGCGGAGCTGTCAACCGATCATCACCTGGTCGTGAGTTGGATCCGCTGGCAGGGCAGGAGGCCGGTCAGACCTGGCAGGCCCAAGCGTGTAGTGAGGGTTTTCTGGGAACGTCTTGCTGAGCCCCCTGTCAGACGGACTTTCAACTCACACCTCCGGGAGAGCTTCTCCCAGGTCCCGGCAGAGGAGGGGGACATCGAGTCCGAGTGGACCATGTTCTCTTCCTCTATCGCCAATGCGGCGGCTCGTAACTGTGGTCGCAAGGTCTCTGGTGCTGGTCCCGGCGGCAATCCCCGAACCCGGTGGTGGACACCGGCAGTAAGGGATGCCGTCAGGCTGAAGAAGGAGTCCTATCGAGCAATGATGGTTCGTGGGACTCCTGAGGCAGCTGTCCAGTACCGGCAGGCCAAACGTGCCGCGGCCCGGGCTGTTGCAGAGGCAAAAACCCGGGACTGGGAGGAGTTCGGAGAGTCCATGGAGCATGACTATCGGTCGGCCTCGAAGAGGTTCTGGCAAACCGTCCGGCGCCTCAGGAGGGGGAAGCAGTTCTTTGCCAACACCGTGTGGTGCGGGTGGAGGGCTGCTGACCTCGACTGGGGATATTGTCGGGCGGTGGAAGGAATACTTCGAGGTTCTCCTCAATCCCCCCGTCACGTCCTCCGTCCAGGAGGCAGAGGCTGAGGATGTTGGGGCGGACACTTCCATCTCCCTGGCCGAGGTCACCAAGGTGGTTGGCAGACTCCATGGTGGCAAGGCGCCGGGAGTGGATGAGATCCGTCCTGACTATCTAAAGTCTCTGGATGTTGTAGGACTGTCTTGGCTAACACGTCTCTGCAGCATCGCGTGGCGATCGGGGGCGGTGCCAATGGAGTGGCAGACCGGGGTGGTGGTCCCTCTCTACAAGAAGGGGGACCGGAGGGTGTGTTCCAATTATCGTGGGATCACACTCCTCAGCCTCCCCGGTAAGGTCTACTCCAAGGTACTGGAGAGGAGGCTACGTCCGATGGTCGAATCTCGGATCCAGGAGGAGCAGTGTGGTTTTCGTCCCGGTCGCGGAACACTGGACCAGCTCTATACTCTCGGATACTCGAGGGTTCATGGGAGTTCGCCCAACCTGTCCACATGTGCTTTGTGGATTTGGAGAAGGCGTTCGACCGTGTTCCCCGGGGTGTCCTTTGGGGGGTCCTCCGGGAGTACGGGGTCCGGGGTCCTCTGCTGAGGGCCGTCCGGTCCCTGTATGACCGGAGTCAGAGCTGTGTTCGCATTGCCGGCAGTAAGTCAGACCTGTTCCCGGTGCATGTTGGCCTCCGCCAAGGCTGCCCTTTGTCACCGGTTCTGTTCACTGTATTTATGGACAGAATTTCTAGGCGCAGCCAGGGGCCGGAGGGGGTCCGGTTCGGGAACCACAGGATTTCATCTCTACTTTTTGCGGATGATGTCGTCCTGCTGGCTCCAACGAACCAGGACCTGCAGCATGCACTGGGACGGTTTGCAGCCGAGTGCGAAGCGGCTGGGATGAGAATCAGCACCTCCAAATCCGAGGCCATGGTGCTCGACCGGAAAAAGGTGCCTTGCCCTCTCCAGGTGGGTGGAGAGGTCCTTCCTCAAGTGAAGGAGTTCAAGTATCTCGGGGTCTTGTTCACGAGTGAGGGGAGGATGGAGCGTGAGATTGACAGGCGGATCGGTGCAGCGTGCGCAGTGATGCGGTCTCTATATCGGACCGTCGTGGTAAAGAGGGAGCTGAGCCGAAAGGCGAAGCTCTCGATTTACCGGTCAATCTTCGTTCCCTCCCTCACCTATGGTCATGAGCTTTGGGTAATGACCGAAAGAACGAGATCGCGGATACAAGCGGTCGAAATGACTTTCCTCCGCAGAGTGGCTGGGCGCTCCCTTAGAGATAGGGTGAGGAGCTCGGTCACACGGGAGGAGCTCGGAGTAGAACCGCTGCTTCTCCACGTCAAGAGGAACCAGTTGAGGTGGCTCGGGCATCTGTTCAGGATGCCTCCTGGACGCCTTCCTGGGGAGGTGTTCCGGGCACGCCCCACCGGGAGGAGGCCCCGGGGAAGACCCAGGACACGCTGGAGAGACTATGTCTCTCAGCTGGCCTGGGAACGCCTTGGGGTCCCCCCGGACGAGCTGGAGGAAGTGTGTGTGGATAGGGAAGTCTGGGCGTCTCTGCTTAGACTGTTGCCCCCGCGACCCGGCAACGGATAAAGCGGAAGAAAATGGATGGATGGATGGATGTCATGTGTTATTTGATCACAGTCCGAGAACTAAGCGCTATCCCCATTATACCCATACATGAAGGAAGAGGGTCACACTAATAAGTTTATCACAAGTATTTCAAAAGCATGTCCAGAATAGGCAGGGGCTGATCCCAACACGACTTTGCGGTGCAATAATAATTGTGTTCCTCGATAGGCTGTAGAGGTGCAAGTTTAAACGCCAGTCAGGTGGCGGCTAGCATTAACACAAAGTAAGCAACGTTAGCATGTCAGTTAGCAACGTTAGCATGTCAGTTAGCTAGATCTACGACAGCATAACAAAAACAGCGTATACTGACCTTATAGTCGACTAACAGATTAAAAACAGAAGTAAAATCTCAAACACCCTACACTTCACAACATTAACAAACTAGGTCATCGCTAGCTCGCTACATGTACGACTCTCGATGCATAATACAAGCTTGATGCTTATTGGCTGGTTGCTCTTGACATACAAGTAGTCAAGCTGTTGATTGGTTATTGTGTATCACAAACCATACATCTGTGACCACAAATCGCAATGAGAACATGATCTGTTTAATGGTGTCTTTCTGCCATTACATCCATGCGAATTACAATTTGGTGTGTAAATCAAATGGATTTACAGTCTATGGGATTGACACACCAAAATGTACCTTATTCCCGTATTCTTTTTAATACAAAGTGATTTGTGTGTGTTTTAATTCTTAGCCAGTAAAATAAAAGGCAAACGTACATAACACAAGGTAAATAGGGAACACAATAACCTAGATTAGAAAAGTTTTGTGGGGAAATTGTTTTAACTTTTCCTGTCTGCAATGAACAATCTTTTCCAGATGGTGGCGCCAAAGGCTCTGCTTTATGAACGGTGTTAGGATTATAATTTATTTATATAGTATCTATGGTTAGGAGCATGGATGTACCGTGGGTCTATTAGAGAAGTACTCATTGATTGGGAGCATGGTTGTATGGGAGAAACTCATTACCAAAAAAAGAAACATTTTAACAGTAATATTCAAGTAATTCATTATATATGCAAGTAATTGAATTGCCTTGATATTTAAGGAAAAAACCTTAATTTAAGACCATCAAAACTAAGTGGGCATGGAAAGCACTTTATGAATAAAGGTAACTTAATTATATATAACTAATTTGAAGAAAAACAAAATAAAACATAGTGATATGCAACTTGTGTATGATAAAGATATAGTTATTAAAAGTAACTTTATGCTATATAAATATAAAAAGCAAAAAAAAAACAACAATAACCAGTAAGACCCAATGACCAACAGGTGCAGCTCCAGTGCATTGTAAACATAAAGGCTGAAGGATGTGGTTTAGTAGGTGCAACAACTATGCAGGAAGCTTTTGAGAGTTTTAAACAAGTTTGTCTGCATCTTCTGACAGATAAGTCAAGTGAACTACCGTCAGCACTTTGGATACGTATGTGTGGCTTTTGTTTCTGTTAGAGGTGTAGCCATGAACCCGAGCATTATTTTGAATGGAACATTCTTCAAGAAATCTCAACAAAAGAAAAGGATAAGTCAAGAAAATTACAAAGAGAGATTTTTTGTATTGAACACTAATGAACTGACATACTTTGACTGTCGTTCAGGGGTAAGAATTTTGACTCTACATTGATTCTTTAAAATTCCAAAATTAACTGATGGCTATTTTTGTTGCTGTGTTGTGTTTTGTTTTAGAAAGAGGTTCGGAAAGGATCTATCGAACTTTGTAAAATTAAGTGTGTTGAGATTGTGGAGACTCAACAACCAATACCATGCAAATACCAATTCCCCTTTCAGGTATGTACAGTATTATGATCATTGACAAGGATGGATATCATTATCGTTGTCCTTTTAGGTATTCTATGACCAATATTACCTGTATATTTTCACTCCTGACCAATTCAGTCGACAAAAATGGATAACAGCTTTGAAAGAAAGTAAATAACAATAGTTATATACGCACATGAAAAACCATAATGACATAACACATACATTTTTGAATTTTCTTTAGAGACACGACATAATGATGTTGTTACCACATACCACCCAGATATGTGGACAAAAGGCAAATGGAGATGCTGTCAAAAGACACAGAAACTGACAGCTGGATGTACAGAGTATCACCCAGTGGATTTAGGTCAGAGAAATAGAAAAATGTGAGATCATTTTGATAACGGCTTTGGCACAATATCAGTGTTGTCTTTTGCAGAGCCGAAAAAAGCTGTTGTCCCTGTGCAAAACCCAGAGGTAATACAGTATCTGTGTGCCATATGTTTTTGTGTGCTAGTTTTAATGTTACTTTTTGCAACAAACAGAGGTTGATCCCTGTCGACAAAAGGGTGGTCATAGCTGTCCAAGACTATTCTCCAGTTGAAAGTGGGGATTTGGCGATTCACAAGGACAAGAAGTACATTTTATTAGACGACTCAAATTCAGACCGGTGGCTGGTGCAAGACTCCGAGGAGTATAACATTCTTTGCTGTTTGTTTTTTAATGTCCTATGTTGTACTATGTTAATAATATACCTTCACCTTTTACTTTTTGTGTCTTAGAAATACTGGTTACGTGCCTAGTATATATGTTGCTGGAAAATTTGAAACAAACTTTGATCGATTTGAGTAGGTTTGAATAACCGCCTGGTTCTTTTGGTCCACAATTGAATATTTGAATTTCCTTTCTATTGTAGTTGGTACGATAATGAAATGACACGTGAGAAAGCAACAAATTTATTGTTACAACAGGTAGGTACACTTTATAGTTCATGCATTATCTGCATTTAACACAGATCATCAACCATGAGCTTGCATTAGGACAGAGAAGGCGCATTCATGGTGCGGAGATCAAGTAAATCAGGTCAATTTTACTTGTCTGTCTTCTCCAAAAGGTATAGATTTTATCGATTGAGCAATATATCATGTGCTTCCTTCTGGTATGTATTTAGACTTTTTCTTCCTTGTGCAACTTTTTCAGTAATCCAGAGGAGCCAACTGTGGCTCATTACATGATCAACACAAAACCAAACAGTGAAGCACCATTTTACGTGAAGAACAAGTCGTTCGCCACCATTCCTGAGCTAGTGCACTATCATCAACATGATTGTGATGGTAAATCATTTCAAACAAATACAAATAACATTGATAGTTTCTAATCACTTAACATTGAAAGTGGGGGCGACAGTGGTTCAGTTGGTAGAGCATTGGTAGAGCCCTAAGGTCATGGGTTCAATCCCCCAATTAGACCTTGCCCACCGACTCCCACTGATATCTGCTGCCATTGTGTCTTAACCCCACTTTGCCTGAAGCCCCCACTGAAAGATCCTTGAAGCCATCCTCCTGTGGAATCACTACCTGGTGGAGGATCAGTAGGGGGCTGGTGCTCTGTGAATTGGGTACACCTCAGAAATGGATTAAGTGGAAGAAAAAGGATGGATGGATATTGAAAGTGCTTCATGAGTCAGGTATTTGGAATTTTTCAGGGATGGTAACTCGACTTCGGCACCCTGTTTCTCGTCCCAGCCCTCGACGGCGTACCGTGGACAATGGTCCACATCTTGAAGGTTTCTGATTCTTACATCTACTGACAGTTCACGAATTAATTTATCATAATTTACAGTGGTCCACATTAATGGTTCTGAAATACAATCTACTAATCAAAGGCTACATTTTGTTTGCAGAGCAATGGCAGTTGGACCCTCTAGAGTTGACTTTGGATAGAAAATTAGGAAATGGACAGTTTGGTTTGGTGATGAAAGGAACATGGAGGGACAAGAAAGTGGCCGTGAAGATGATTAACAAGGGAGCTATGTCTGAGGAAGAATTTAAAGATGAAGCCAAAACAATGATGTAAGTATTTTGCATAATCCCCAGAGATAGAGACAGACAGAGAGACACAGACGGACAGACAGACAGACACACAGGCAGGCAGACAGACAGACAGACAGACAGACAGACAGACAGACAGGCAGACAGACAGACAGGCAGGCAGACAGACAGACAGACAGACAGACAGACAGGCAGGCAGACAGACAGACAGACACACAGACACATAAACAGACACACAGACAGACAGACAGACACACACACATACACACACACAATTGCAACACGCTCCACCTGTTGGCAAGGTAAATATACAATCAAACAATTTACACAGGCGAATTTGTGTCTTCTTCAGGAAATTGTCCCACTGTAAGCTGGTGCAGTTGTATGGAGTGTGCACGCAGCGCTCGCCCCTGTGTATAGTGTTTGAGTTCATGGAGCAGGGCGCTCTGCTGGACTTTCTGAAGGCCAGAAAGGGCTCTCACTCCCTGTCACAAGAGAGACTATTTGGGATGTGTTTGGATGTTTGTGAAGGAATGTGTTTCTTGGAGCGCTCCAACTTCATACACAGGGATTTGGTAGGACTGTAAAACATGTATGTGATTTACATGATCAACAAAAATAACTATAATAATATTTTTTTTCATGTGCAGGCAGCTAGAAATTGCCTTGTTTCACACGATAATGTGGTCAAAGTGGCCGATTTTGGAATGGCAAGGTATTTCACCATAAGCTTAATTCTTGTAATAATAATAATAATAATGTACTAATGTGCAAAATAATAGATTTGTTCTAGATAATGAGTATACAACGTCTCAAGGATCAAAGTTCCCTGTAAGGTGGTCTGCCCCTGAGGTCATTCTATTTGGGAGGCACAGTAGCAAAGCTGATGTCTGGTCGTTTGGTATGTTAATTTCTTTTCCCTTTATGCCTTATGTCAAACATTATTTTATGAACTTCTCATGAATGCAGAAAGTATATTATTATGGCTTTATTACAACTTAATAACCTTCATTATTAGCGATTATTATTATTTCATATTTTACTAAGTTATGCGTTATACTGAATATAGTCACTTTTTAAGCAGATGAGCTTGAAGTCTATGCTCTACACCTCATGGTTAAAGGTATAAAGGCATAGATATAATTCAACTTTGGATCAATAGGAAAATTAAATAAATTAACTTTTACATTGTGCCAGTACATCTTGAAACATGGCCGCACTCATAGAGAACAACATCACAAACGTTTCCTGCTACAGGCTCGTGTATGTGATGTGGATCTGACCCTGACCATCTGGAGCGTGTGCCGGTGAGCGCCACTCTTGTCTCGAGGCGCATTGGCACAACCTGAGCTTAGTCTTTGGCCTTATGTGGCAGTACTTGCATGCGAAAGCCAGATCCCGTCTGGTTAGTACTGTGATGGGAGACCTCTGAGAAAGAATAATGACATGTGAAGCGTCTTTGAATGTCCTGAAAAGTGCTATAAAAAACCCCTATCCATTATAAGTAGGCCATTAGAAAGTTGGAAAATATAGTTTTTTATGCCCAAATTATCAGATTTAGAAAAAAATATGAAACTGCTGCATAAACAGAAAGAAAAGCTGGGGTTTCATGAGATGGTTTTAAAGCTGAATTGACATTGTGTCCAGGTATACTCATGTGGGAGGTGTACAGTGAAGGCATTCTCCCTTATGAAAAAAATAATACTTTTGATGTGGTAAAATTGGTCAAAAGAGGGGAGAGACTCTCAAAGCCAGAATTAGCTCCTGATGATGTGCACGCACTCATGGAGTGGTGCTGGAAGGAAGTAAGTGTTGAATTCAACTTAACTATATACAATATAATCAAAATACTGTTAAGACTCTGTTTTCCTTTTCAGAAACCAGAAGATCGTCCAACATTTGCTCTGCTGCTACATCAATTAGAGTACCTATTCGTAGAACTTAAGTTACATTAGGTAACTATTAATTCTCTGACCTGTGTTGGTGATTTCAATGGTTTTGTTCAAGTCCTCTGAGATGACTTTTGTTGTGACCTAGGGCTATACAAGAATAAATTGTGTATTATGTATTGTATTGTAAGATGGACACAACAAAAAACAGCATTGAGAAATTACTTATGCATTATCATAATTTGAACTTTTTTTCTAGGGATAAAAAATGGGAACTAAAGATGCTTATAAATAATGACCAAGAATGAAGGTTAAGTATGGGACACACCTGCCAGCTGTGATAAAACCCTCAGCATTAAGTCATCATTAGGCTTTCATTATTGCAGCGTGATGTTTTGACACAGACCGGTGGTCCCTCCTCCTGTCCTCCCTGTCACATGGACATAATGTGTCGGTAATTTAGCTTCGTCCGGCTTCCCTTCGATCACTGTCTGAGGAGCTGACGTGATCTTTCCCCTTCGGAGGTTGAAGGTTAATGGGTGTAGCTCAGTCTGAGGCGCGGTCACCGTAATCAATCACAAGAACATCACAGACACTTTAAGATCCACCTGCTGCCTTCTTGTCCCATCAACATACCAATACTCAAGATTCTAGAGTGTAAAATCACAAATGCACAGCTTTATTATATTATTTATGTGAAAGAATACAGAGCTGCGGAAAAGATGTCCTCAAATCTGGGGGAACTAATTTGTTTTTTGTGTGTCAGACATAGTGGGTTTGTCTTTCCCAATAACAATCATATTTAATTGTGAATTATTATGAACACATTAGCCCACATCTGTCTGCCTACTGTGATGGTATCTTTTGCAGAATCACTTTTTGACACTATGGGTTGAGAAATGGTAGGAATGGTCCTCTCTTGTTCACATTTCTGTTGTAACCCTTTAATGGTTTCCTCAATCATTTGGTAGATCACCTTTTGAGTCAATATATCTACTTGAAGCTTGGAACTGAAATAGGCCTCTCTGGGGAATCTCACTTGGTTTTAGGCACTTTTGCCATCAATCTGAATCTCAACCATTTGGTAAAGGACTATAAATAAGAGGCTAAGATAGCTACATCTTAGACAATCCAAAAAAGAAAAAAAAGACATTCCTTCAATCAAGGAGTGAATGTAAAAGGGTTAAGAGACAAAAAAAATACATGCATGCCAAAACTATTGTGATAGTTTTGTCTGGAGGAGGAATCGAACCCAGGACCTGGCTGCGAACTAAGGTCTTGGGTTTGACCTTGCGCTAAGTAGTGCACCACCATTCCGCCCTTAAATTACTTTTCTATATTATTGGGTAATGGCAGTGATTTAAAAGCAAAAAAATTCAACAGAACAGATTGGTGCTGCCATCTTTTTTTCCAGTAACATCTTCATCTCGTAAAAAAACAGCCTCTTTTGCAGATGTGTGTATGTGTGTGTGTGTGTGTGTGCGTGTGTGTATGCGGCACAACAGCCTTTACAGCATGTTGTTTACGGCCTTTCACAACAAGAAACAAATCTAATCGCTCTCCCAGGTTTCACTTAATCACTGGAGAAAGAAAAAACAAAAACGCTGAACTATTGAGTCCCTCTAATCCACTTTGCAAATACATATTGAAGAACACAGCTTTGAAAATCCAAAAGGGATTAGTCCTAAACGGCAGAGACAGAGAGGGGAGCTAAAATTACAGGTGGAGTGATCCCTTCTAAAATTATCAAGACTCTTTTATATTGTGCCTCTGAAGAATTCATGCTCATGTTTAATTCGCAAAGCCTGATAACGAATGTCTCCTCCAAGCACCTGCAGATTAATAGACTTTTACCAGGTGCTCTCCGTCTTTTTATAACACACTCCAGCTATTTAAACGCTGCGCTGTCTGGCTGTCAGCCCGTACACCGTGAGGTCATTTGGAGCCGGTTTTTGGCGATGTCCAGGCCACAGGAAGAGACTGAAAGAAGTAAGTGAAACAGACTGGGACCTCTGTCGGGACCAGAGACTGAGCGTGTGCTGACATCACCTGTAGTGTTTGCCGAACGCGGAAGAAGCCGATTTGAACATAAGCTCAATTATTTTTTTTATTTTTTTTTATAGTCCTAAATCATGATCACTAATCCTCAAAAAATGTCCAAAATAACATGCTAATAATGTAGAGCTAATAATTAATACAATTTAAGATATAAAAAAAAGAGTTTAAAAAAAATTCCATGTTTGCTTTGTTATTTTCTTCTTTGCTGTTTTCTTGGAGATTTGAGGGTTATTTTTTAAAGAAGGTTTGGCTTCAATTAAGTGGACAAAAGTCAGTGAATTCATGTCAATGCTTCTTCTGTTTGGCTGACTGAAATAAACAACTGCTACTACTACTTATCACAACAGCAGTCGTCACAGAAGACTTTACAGACTTCATGGGAAATGCATCTCTGCGCATGTTAGAGTCAGACCAATTTGTTTGGGCTTTCTCGCCTCACTGTACGCAGGCCTATGTCTGAATGTCTTCACGACTCTTTTGTATATTTGTTTTGACTTATGTGAACTTATTTGACGTATGTGTACTGTTTTTCGCCCTATGTTTTTAATTTTGAAGCGCTTTGTGATTCTGGGTTTTTGAAAGGCGCGATGTGAATATACTTTACTTTACTTATTTAATAACAAACACATGGGAGCCATTGGTACATAGGAGGTGAGATGACCACTGTCCAAAACATGTCTTTAGACTTTAGAACTTTAGATTTAAACATGACCTTAAAAAGGAAGGTTTAGTTTCTTGTGTCACCTTTAAAACAAGATTTTCCAGTGGGACAAGCAAACCTTTTGCCCCCATCGATTGTCTAGTTTTTTGTTGATGCTGTTTGTGCTGTCCTCACAACACGTGACCATGTGAAGCTAGACAGCCAGCGAATGGGAAAGAAACTCTGTAGACAAGGCTTGCTTTTCTTGTTTTATAGAGAATCTTGTATTTGGTCAATTCAATGTTACAAAAATCACCAAAATCACCGTAACTGAAACAACAGGAAAAAGTGTGTCACTATCAACGGCTGTACACACGAATTTACATACAGCGCTAGCTAATCAAAATAGCACAAACTTAACACTTCACACTTAACACTTTTGTGGTCCGAACATTGTGCTTGTGACATTAAATAATACTTACAAAGACGAAAGTTTGCCAAGGCTCAACACAAGAAAGCTCTCTGCGTTAAATGAGACGTTAGATTACGTGCTTGTACCAGTTACCAAGGGAACAAAGATTGTTACAGAAAAACAAGAGCGCTTACTCTGCGCGGACAGGAAACTGATGTGTTCTAGAGAGGAAGTCTCACTTTTGTTTTCCCCTTATATTTTAACAAATTTAGCTTATTGCTTTAGCATTTAAGAACGTGTTGTATTATTAAACAAACTTTTAAATGAATGAATTATGTCTTTAAACTTGAAGACATGACACTCCCCGCTTGATATAATCACATTATATCACCACAAATACCAAAAAACACATCAAATGAAACGAATACTGCATTGCATATTACTCAGTCTCTGAAAGTAAAACAATCATCTCTGAAATTGGTCGTAAGAACACTTTTGCAGTCCCGTCTTTCACTATCCGCACTTCCACCTTGCGGACCTTTTTGTCACTGCCGGCTAAAGTCTTTACTATTAGTCCCATCGGCCATTCATTCCTGTGAGCTTGTGTGTCTTTTAACAGGACGATGTCTCTTTCTTTGACATTTGGTTGGTTTTCAGTCCATTTTGTACGTTTCTGCAGCGTAGACAGGTATTCACCTTTCCACCTTTTCCAAAACGTGTCCGCAAGTTGTTGTACATGTTTCCATTGCTTTCCATACAACTGACTGGAGGAAAAGTTTCCAGACGGTGCAGAAACTGCGCTTGACTTTTGTGTTAACAACATAGCTGGTGTGAGTATCGTAGGACAGTCTGGGTCTGTTGATACTGGGACAAGAGGTCTAGCATTCATAATAGCCATTACCTCAGACATGAATGTGCTTAAAACCTCATGTGTGAGACATATTTGAAAATTTTTTAATAACAATGCATCTAGGATACGCCTAGCAACTCCTATGAGACGTTCCCAGGACCCACCCATGTGGGACGCATGTGGGGGATTGAATGTCCATGAGCACCCCTTTTCTTGGAGGTACTTTCCCACTGCGGACTTGTCTGTGTCTAAACCAAGTTCTTTACACGCTCCCACAAAATTAGTTCCTCGGTCAGAGCGTAAAAGTTTAGCTGGTCCACGAATAGAGAAAAATCTTCTGAGCGCATTAATAAAGCTGTCTGTGGACATAGTCTCAATAAGTTCGATGTGTACAGCTCTTGTTGACATGCAAGAGAAAATGACAGCCCATCGTTTGTTATGTGCGCTGCCACCCCTTGTGCGGCGTGTTACTACAGACCACGGCCCAAACACATCCAAACCTACTGTGGTAAAGGGCGGCTCAGGTGTCACTCGATCTGCAGGTAAATCTGCCATTTTTTGGGTCTGCATTTTGCCTCGTAACTTGCGACAGGTAACACAGTGGTGTATGACGGAGGACACAAGCCGCTTACCCCCAACGATCCAGAAACCAGCACCACGGACAGCTCCTTCCGTTATGTGACGCCCTTGATGAGCTGACAGTTCGTGGAAATGTCTGACGAGCAGGGTGGCGACGTGGCTGTTCGAAGGGATGAGTAGAGGATGCTTTTCATCTTCTGTAAGGTCAGAAGAGGAAAGACGCCCACCAACACGAAGAAGACCTTCTGTGTCCATGACTGGATTGAGCTTTTTGAGTGTGTCATTCTTAGAGTCTATTTTGCGTCCCTCTTTCATGTTTTTCAATGTCTGTTTATATGCATCATTTTGAACTGCACGTAAGATAACAATTTTGGCTTGAGCAAGCTCATCTGTGTTAGTAGATTCGTTTATACTTTTCCATCCCTTTTGCTGGAATGAAGCAACAACATGCATAAGTTTGGCCACTGCTTTGTAGGCCGCTGTCCAACTAGAGTAATTTGTGAAACGTTCTGAACCTAGCTGTGACTCTGACACTGCAGTTTTGAGTGTTTTTACTTCTGAGAGTATCTCTCTATCACTTTCAGGCTCAACAAGTGAGAATAGATTGTCTTTGAGTGAGTCACTATGCTTATCCACATGCAAAAAGCGTGGCCCACTGAACCAGCTACTACTTTTGAGTTCAGCGGCTGGGATGACTCGAGTAGCGTGATCGGCTGGATTTAACTCAGATGGCACGTACTGCCATTGCTCAGGTTGTGTGGATAACCTAATGCGTGTGACACGATTGGCTACATACATGTAGAATCTCTTAGTGGAGTTGTGTATGTATCCTAATACAATACGACTGCCGGTGTAAAACTTAACACTATCAAACTTGATGTCTAACTCATCTCTGATTAACTCGTACATTTCTACTGCAAGTACGGCTGCACAAAGCTCTAGCCGGGGTACTGTGTGTGCAGGACGAGGAGCAAGTTTAGATTTTCCCATGACAAAACCTACATGGTACTGACCTTCATTGTCTAATGAGCGCAGGTAAGCCACGGCTCCTATCGCTATTGTCGATGCATCTGAGAAAATACACAATACATTACTTTTCATTGCACTTAATGACACTGGGCTATAGCACCTTCCGATCTGTAGATCTTCAAGGGCCTTTAACGAGTCTTTCCATGAGAACCACGCCTTTTCTTTTTCTGTAGAAAGGGGCGCATCCCATTCTTTCTCCTCTGATGACAGCTCTCGGAGTAGTGTTTTCCCCTGCATGATTACAGGAGCAACAAATCCTAACGGATCATACAGGCTATTAACAGTCGACAATACTCCCCTGCGTGTGAATGGTTTGCTCTCTTTGGACACAAGGAAAGTGAAACTATCAGTCTGTAAGTCCCAGCAAAGTCCTAAGCTCCTCTGCACCGGGAGCGGATCTACCCCGAGGTCTAAGTCTTTCACGTCCTTTGCGCGGTCTTCAACAGGGAACGCTTCCATGACGAGGTTACAGTTCGAGGCCACTTTATGAAGCCTGAGATTGGACTCTGCCAACATGGTTTTTGTCCTTGTTAACAGATCGACTGCTTGCTGTGGAGTGGCTACAGATGTCAACCCATCGTCCATATAAAACTGTCTTTCAACAAACTGTTTAGCATCTGTGCCATGCTCTCGCTCACCTTCTATGGCTGCGCGGCGCATGCAATATATAGCAACAGCGGGTGATGGGCTGTTACCAAAAACATGCACTTTCATCCTATATTCAATCACATTCTTTGTGGTGTCATTGTCCTCAAACCAGAGATAGCGGAGATAGTCTCTGTGATCTTCACGCACCTCAAAGCAATAAAACATTTGCTGCACGTCGGCTATCAGGGCAACTGGTTCTTTTCTAAAACGCAACAGCACTCCTAACAGGGAGTTGTTCAGATCAGGTCCACTAAGAAGTACTTGATTTAGTGATGTGCCGTCACACTCTGCACTAGAATCAAAAACAACTCTTATTTGATCTGGTTTCTGCGGGTGGTATACACCAAACGTCGGCAAGTACCAGTGTTCTTTATCTTCTGGCAGAGGAGGAGCAAGTTCAGCCTGATCGTTATCCAGCATTTTCTGCATGAACTGAATGTAGTGTTCTTTCATTTTAGGTTTCTTCTCTAAAGTCTTTTTAAGTGAGAAGAGGCGTTTGAGTGCTTGATCTCTATTGCTTGGGAGTCTCCTTCTTGGAGAGCGGAACGGCAAGGGAGCGACCCACGTATTCTCTTCGCTCTGGCTGACTGCATTGTCCATAAGTGTTAAGAATGTTTTGTCATCAATAGACAGTCCAATTTTATCATCTGACTCTGCTCTATCAAACACCGACTGGCCTAAGTTGTCTGTGGAGTCCCCACTATTTACTGTGGAGGTGTCCTGCATACACCTGACCCCATATTCTTCTTTAACTGAAATGACGTTGGGGCATGGCTCAAAATAGGTTGAACGCCCACTGACAGATAAGTCAAGTGAACTACCGTCAGCACTTTGGATACGTATGTGTGGCTTTTGTTTCTGTTAGAGGTGTAGCCATGAACCCGAGCATTATTTTGAATGGAACATTCTTCAAGAAATCTCAACAAAAGAAAAGGATAAGTTCAAGAAAATTACAAAGAGAGATTTTTTGTATTGAACACTAATGAACTGACATACTTTGACTGTCGTTCAGGGGTAAGAATTCTGACTCTACATTGATTCTTTAAAATTCCAAATTAACTGATGGCTATTTTTGTTGCTGTGTTGTGTTTTGTTTTAGAAAGAGGTTTGGAAAGGATCTATCGAACTTTGTAAAATTAAGTGTGTTGAGATTGTGGAGACTCAACAACCAATACCATGCAAATACCAATTCCCCTTTCAGGTATGTACAGTATTATGATCATTGACAAGGATGGATATCATTATCGTTGTCCTTTTAGGTATTCTATGACCAATATTACCTGTATATTTTCACTCCTGACCAATTCAGTCGACAAAAATGGATAACAGCTTTGAAAGAAAGTAAATAACAATAGTTCTATACGCACATGAAAAACCATAATGACATAACACATACATTTTTTAATTTTCTTTAGAGACACGACATAATGATGTTGTTACCACATACCACCCAGATATGTGGACAAAAGGCAAATGGAGATGCTGTCAAAAGACACAGAAATTGACAGCCGGATGTACAGAGTATCACCCAGTGGATTTAGGTCAGAGAAATAGAAAAATGTGAGATCATTTTGATAACGGCTTTGGCACAATATCAGTGTTGTCTTTTGCAGAGCCGAAAAAAGCTGTTGTCCCTGTGCAAAACCCAGAGGTAATACAGTATCTGTGTGCCATATGTTTTTGTGTGCTAGTTTTACTGTTACTTTTTTGCAACAAACAGAGGTTGATCCATGTCGACAAAAGGGTGGTCATAGCTGTCCAAGACTATTCTCCAGTTGAAAGTGGAGATTTGGCGATTCACAAGGACAAGAAGTACATTTTATTAGACGACTCAAATTCAGACCGGTGGCTGGTGCAAGACTCCGAGGAGTATAACATTCTTTGCTGTTTGTTTTTTAATGTCCTATGTTGTACTATGTTAATAATATACCTTCACCTTTTACTTTTTGTGTCTTAGAAATACTGGTTACGTGCCTAGTATATATGTTGCTGGAGAATTTGAAACAAACTTTGATCGATTTGAGTAGGTTTGAATAACCGCCTGGTTCTTTTGGTCCACAATTGAAAATTTGAATTTCCTTTCTATTGTAGTTGGTACGATAATGAAATGACACGTGAGAAAGCAACACATTTATTGTCGCAACAGGTAGGTACACTTTATAGTTCATGCATTATCTGCATTTACTGTAACACAGATCATCAACCATGAGCTTGCATTAGGACAGAGAAGGCGCATTCATGGTGCGTAGATCAAGAAAATCAGGTCAATTTTCCTTGTCTGTCTTCTCCAAAAGGTATAGATTTTATCGATTGAGCAATATATCATGTGCTTCCTTCTAGTACGTATTTAGACTTTTTCTTCCTTGTGCAACTTTTTCAGTAATACAGAGAAGGGGCCAAATGTGGCTCATTACATGATCAACAAGAAACCAAACAGTGAAGCACCATTTTACGTGAAGAACAAGTCGTTCGCCACCATTCCTGAGCTAGTGCACTATCATCAACATGATTGTGATGGTAAATCATATTAAACATATACAAATAACATTGATAGTTTCTAATCACTTAACATTGAAAGTGGGGGCGACAGTGGTTCAGTTGGTAGAGCATTGGTAGAGCCCTAAGGTCATGGGTTCAATCCCCAAATTAGACCTTGTCCACCGACTCCCACTGATATCTGCTGCCATTGTGTCTTAACCCCACTTTGCCTGAAGCCCCCACTGAAAGATCCTTGAAGCCATCCTCCTGTGGAATCACCACCTGGTGGAGGATCAGTAGGGGGCTGGTGCTCTGTGAATTGGGTACACCTCAGAAATGGATTAAGGGGAAGAAAAAGGATGGATGGATATTGAAAGTGCTTCATGAGTCAAGGATTTGGAATTTTTCAGGGATGGTAACTCGACTTCGGCACCCTGTTTCTCGTCCCAGCCCTCGACGGCGTACCATGGACAATGGTCCACATCTTGAAGGTTTCTGATTCTTACATCTACTGACAGTTCATGAATTAATTTATCATGATTTACAGTGGTCCACATTAATGGTTCTGAAATACAATCTACTAATCAAAGGCTACATTTTGTTTGCAGAGCAATGGCAGTTGGACCCTCTAGAGTTGACTTTGGATAGAAAATTAGGAAATGGACAGTTTGGTTTGGTGATGAAAGGAACATGGAGGGACAAGAAAGTGGCCGTGAAGATGATTAACAAGGGAGCCATGTCTGAGGAAGAATTTAAAGATGAAGCCAAAACAATGATGTAAGTATTTTGCATAATCCCCAGAGATAGAGACAGACAGAGAGACACAGACGGACAGACAGACAGACAGACAGACAGACAGACAGACAGACAGACAGGCAGGCAGAAATATACAATCAAACAATTTACACAGGTTAATTTATGTCTTCTTCAGGAAATTGTCCCACTGTAAGCTGGTGCAGTTGTATGGAGTGTGCACGCAGCGCTCGCCCCTGTGTATAGTGTTTGAGTTCATGGAGCAGGGCGCTCTGCTGGACTTTCTGAAGGCCAGAAAGGGCTCTCACTCCCTGTCACAAGAGAGACTACTTGGGATGTGTTTGGATGTTTGTGAAGGAATGTGTTTCTTGGAGCGCTCCAACTTCATACACAGGGATTTGGTAGGACTGTAAAACCTGTATGTGATTTACATGATCAACAAAAATAACTATAATAATATTTTTTTTCATGTGCAGGCAGCTAGAAATTGCCTTGTTTCACACGATAATGTGGTCAAAGTGGCCGATTTTGGAATGGCAAGGTATTTCACCATAAGCTTAATTCTTGTAATAATAATAATAATAATGTACTAATGTGCAAAATAATAGATTTGTTCTAGATAATGAGTATACAACGTCTCAAGGATCAAAGTTCCCTGTAAGGTGGTCTGCCCCTGAGGTCATTCAATTTGGGAGGCACAGTAGCAAAGCTGATGTCTGGTCGTTTGGTATGTTAATTTCTTTTCCCTTTATGCCTTATGTCAAACATTATTTTATGAACTTCTCATGAATGCAGAAAGCATATTATTAAGGCTTTATTACAACTTAAAAACCTTCATTATTAGCAATTATTATTATTTCATATTTTACTAAGTTATGCGTTATACTGAATATAGTCACTTTTTAGGATGAGCTTGAAGTCAGGTATAAAGGCATAGATATAATTCAACTTTGGGTCTATAGGAAAATTGAATAAATTAACTTTTACATTGTGCCAGTACACCTTGAAACATGGCCGCACTCATAGAGAACACCATCACAAACGTTTCCTGCTGAAGAAGATGACATAGTCTGGGATCGCGTCTTTCATTCAGACAGAAGACATGTTTTATTGTCAATGGTAGAGACAGCACGATCAACAGATACAACAGAATGCAAGTGTATTATACAGAGCGGAGGCATGGAGACCTCCAATCAGCAGCTGCCACGGTGTGCTTGTAGCTTGGCCTTCAGATAGACAAAACAAGGGAAAAGTACTGGCTTCTGCACATTGATAGAATGATGAGTTTAACTTTAACAAAAGTTGCTTCAAAGTGTTATGAAATCTCACACTGCTACAGGCTCGTGTATGTGATGTGGATCTGACCCTGACCATCTGGAGCGTGTGCCGGTGAGCGCCACTCTTGTCTCGAGGCGCATTGGCACAACCTGAGCTTAGTCTTTGGCCTTATGTGGCAGTACTTGCATGCGAAAGCCAGATCCCGTCAGACTTCTGTACTTGTGCAGGGCAGGGCCTGGTTAGTACTGTGATGGGAGACCTCTGAGAAAGAATAATGACATGTGAAGCGTCTTTGAATGTCCTGAAAAGTGCTATAAAAAACCCCTATCCATTATAAGTAGGCCATTAGAAAGTTGGAAAATATAGTTTTTTTATGCCCAAATTATCAGATTTAGAAAAAAATATGAAACTGCTGCATAAACAGAAAGAAAAGCTCGGGTTTTATGAGATGGTTTTAAAGCTGAATTGACATTGTGTCCAGGTATACTCATGTGGGAGGTGTACAGTGAAGGCATTCTCCCTTATGAAAAAAAAAATAATTTTGATGTGGTAAACTTGGTGAAAAGAGGGGAGAGACTCTCAAAGCCAGAATTAGCTCCTGATGATGTGCACGCACTCATGGAGTGGTGCTGGAAGGAAGTAAGTGTTGAATTCAACTTAACTATATACAATATAATCAAAATACTGTTAAGACTCTGTTTTCCTTTTCAGAAACCAGAAGATCGTCCAACATTTGCTCTGCTGCTACATCAATTAGAGTCAAATACGTCCAAATAGAAAGCATTATAATAGAGCTGCAACTAACGATTATTTTGTAAATCGATTAATCTATCGATTATTTTTACGATTAATCGAGTAATTGCTTGGCTGTGAATTGTGTAGAAAAATTAATTTTTTCATCACAAAAAGCTAAAGTGGCAACACTCGAGGACGTATTGATGGCGTACACTTAAAGTAAATGTTTGTAACAGGCTCTTTGTGCTAATTCTGCTATCTGATTGGATGAGACAGACAGATATTCATGAAATTATAAAAACAAAGTCGGTTTTAATCAAAAATACTACATTTTCATGTCATTTTTGCTCTGTTTGAGTCCGTGTGAACCAGAAAACAATTAATCGATTACTAAAATAGTTGTCGACTATTTCAATACTCGATTAGTCGTCGATTAATCGATTAGTTGTTTCAGCCCTACATTATAATGAGCATCACTGTTGAGTTTACATAACCATGTGATTTTTGTGTTGTTTTTTTGTTGTATTTCTTATTGTATGATGACAGCCCAAAAGTGATTAGCCTACTATCTTTGTTTTAAAATAATTAAGCATACTGTATGAATTTTGTTTATATGGATGTATCTTTATACATTGCACTACACGCTCTTTAAACTTCTGCCTACACTCCTTTTTGTACTTCCCCTGATGCATTGCACACAAAGATTGTATATAAGGAGCGGACGAACCGAGTGCTGACATAGTGTTGGGAGCCTCAATTTTAACATAGCTCGCTGAAGCCAGTTTCATGATATGGACATTTTTTCAGACGGCATTAGCTCTGTGCCGTAAAAGGAGCAAAATGAAGGCATCAGATTGATATATTGATTGATATATATATGATTGTACATAACATTTGTTTTTTAAAGCAAGTAACAGCTGCTGCATATGAACCTATGTTAAACATAACATGTATGTATAGAGTCAGGACTTGAAAGCCTGAAAGTTTTACTAATATACTTGGTCTTTGTTTTAAACAAAAACTCTTTTTCATTCATGTATTAATTTACAACAACACACATATTGCACCTGTTGTCAATAACTGTCATTAACTGCCTTTAATTGTGTGTAAATAAAACAAATTCAACATGACTTTTGTAAATCAACAAAGCACATGCGTGTGGACACTATAGAACCAAACTGTTTTAGGGTCACGACCTAGTTAGTTTGAAAGTTGGGTACAGCAGCTTTACACATAATATATTGTGACAAATGCAATGACTTCTGTATACGGCGAGACCACCATCACCCATCTCAGCTCTGGACGCCGTGGTGCCTGTCCCTTTAAGAGAATGCACTTGCAGCCATTTTCTGCTCTTTGTGTGGGGCGGATTAGCACTCGGTCGGCACTGGGTGAAACTAGAGCATCAGTCGGCGGTGAAAACGAGAGGAGAGAAAAAAAAATACAACCAAGCCCCATCGGCACAAACGGGAGGACCGCTGCCGCTGATCACGGCCCAGTCCAGTCGCCTCTTCAGACGGACATGCGATTCACAGGTACGTGCGAGTCAGAGTAACGGGGTCTAGGGAGAGATGAAGCAAGGGCTGCGCTGCTGATGTGAGGTGGGTAGTGATGATGGCTGGAGACTGGAGAGGCTACATCACGTTATTTTACTATCGTGCATCGCGATCGGTTTAGGGAGGCATATGGATCGGTTTTGGAGGTTGCAAAAAGATGCGTGCATGTAGAGCGAGGTGATCATTTTTGTGTATTTTTTATTTTTTTTGGCGTTTGGCTATTTTGCATGAATGGGAGTCCCGTTAGCTTCCATCGTAGCTCACGCTGAGATGGGTGGGGTGAAGAGAGCCACCATCCACACCGAGCGAGTTCTCTGATGGATCTATACTATTCTTCTTTTTTTTACGTCGCGTTTCTTTCATGATATCCCATTGAGGTTTTTTGTATATTTTTATCTTGCAATTTTATATCAATATCTTTTTTAATTCACAGCGTTTTCCCTCGCGTCTCTCGCAGCGGTAGACGGCCTGCATCTGACAGGTTCACCTACTTCCGCTCGCTCAGTTCTGTGATCCATCCATCCCTTCTTGCAGTAATAATAATTGTTAACTGTTTTGATTGATGCATGAGGTGATTAGGGCTGTGTGTCTTTCGTTGTGTTGTTGATTAATCAGTTGATGTCTTTTTCGTCGATTTAAAATGTGTGGTATTTAGCTTCATTTACATCGATTTCTGCAATAACGAGAAGGCACGAAGCGAGTTTTCTGATTATTTTGGGATTTTTTGAAATTATATTAATGCATTGTTCTTAGTGCTGCCCTATTCGTCATAATGTGCAGAGATTTTAGAAAAAAAACATGTCTAGATTTTGTACAGAAAGACCAATACAATCTTTTGGAATAGTGTGAACCAATAGTGTGTAACCCTAACCCTTACCAATAATCTTTTCATAACTAAGTCATATTGTAAAAGTAAAAACGTTCGAGATTATTTATTTGTGTATTTTATTTTAAATGTGCTAAAGCTAGACTCAAATCTCTTTGTCACAGTCTAAAACTTATCTTAAGACTAAAATATTTAAAGAATATGAAAAGTTTGTATAAAACCTTTTGTACGTATGATGTTGAATGGTATACAAAACATAAAAAGATGGTTAGGATTGGTTCAACTAATCACTGCTTTTGCCCATTCTTCTTTTGGTTGCAATTCATTATATATAAAACTGTATCGTTGTTGATTTAATGAACAAAATAAAATAAAAAACCATCAATCATTTTGCTCAATCATTCAAGCCAGATACAATTCCAAATTACCTTGTCTTTTCATCTTTTTCAACAAAAGCTAAATATGTGATGGTGTGCCTAATCAGTTGTTTGAGCATGGTTGGGGACAATTTAGGTCTAGTTCGTAATAGTTTTGAGGGTTTTTTCTATACTCACTTTTTATACACTTTCTTTTAATACTCACCAGTTTTAATGTGTTCATTGTAGGTTCTTTCACAACAGTAGTCCCTGACCAGATCTGAAACTTGACTCGTTTTAGCACTTGTTTCACACAGAATGTTTCTGCGTTTCTTCACACTGATCTGAAGAATTTTCTAAGTAAAATAATATTTTAGGCTTAACATTTTAATCAAACAGTTTTCCTAAAATATATTAAATATGCAGTTAAAAATGTAAAATGTAACTCTGTGTTGAAAAACAGAATTCCTAATACAGGAGATAATCATATTGCAAATACATTTTCTTCCACTTTTTTGGTCACATTTCAATACAAATTATTTATGAAGCCCCTGGAACTGGGTTAAAGTGGGAAAGACCAGATTAATATTGTATTGATGTTGTATGTGTTGCTTAGTAGAGTTGTTTTTGTGTATTAAACCGATGCTTTGCGATTGTGTATCATGTATTCTTATTGTCTCGTAGGGTTTCGTCTGTCATGTGAGCTGCAGCCTGCATCCCCATAATGTGCATTGTTGACACTTTGAAAGCAGCGTGCGTTACATCATCGAGATCAGGAGTCAAATGCAGCTTTTAGGGACGCACATATTCACAATTAGCTTGTAAAATACTTCAGGCGGCGTCCTTGGTCCAGCCTAAAATGACGCATTCCTTACCACATGTGATACTGGTGTCTATGTCTTGGCTTAGTGTGTGTTTGTGACTAAATGCTCCTCTTCCACGCTGATCGGGTCACATCCTATTGTAGGGGGAATATTCTTGCGTACTCCAACCTTGCCTTGGGGGAAGAAACACATTCACAAGTCGTGGCTTTGGATTTGACACACTTTTTATGCATTGTGGCCTGAGTTGTCTCCTGAGCAATTAGTCCTGCATCGAAACACAATAATTATTTGATAGCTTCAGCAAGATTCATGTGAAGAAATTCTGAAATATTATTAAAACAAGGAAAGTTCCCCTATGCACAGCCGCTCGGGAGCTACAGGAACTAAAGGATTTAGAATGCTGAAATATCTGAAACTGTATCACTCATATACAGCTATATGAAATACATTGTAATAAATGTTAAATATTGTGAATAGTGACTGGTCCCCATGAGGCTAGCTCTCATCAGTAAATGGACATCCCCCTTAACTCACGACTGCCAGCCGTTTTTGATGATTTTACTGACTTTCAAAACCCACAGAATATTGTGTGCTTTGACTATGTAAAATATGAAACCAGATTCCAAAAGAACGGACCGTCTATTTTTATCAGCAAAACTCTGTTGGTATCTCTAATCTCGCTAGTTTTGTTCTGCTGTGATCTTCAATCAAATAGAGAGAAGTTTGACAGAAATCACCAGCCAAATACGTCAATGGAAGTCAATGAGTTAAAGGTATATAGGAGGATTTTCTACTTCCGGGTGGATCGTCAAGACTATTGGTCCTCCCAACTGTCAATCATTCTGCTGATACGGCCTCGTCCAATAAGACCAGAGAGTTTCGTTCAAAAAGTGGATAAGGCAGAACTTTCCTAAAAATTGGGAAAATCCTCCTATATACCTTTAAAGGAGTAGCTCACTTCTATTTTAGCCCTGAGAAAGTCGCTCTCCCTCTCTTGACGTTGGTTAAATTAGTAATTAGTACAGTCAACTGTCCATGGAGTCGTTTTTCAAGCTGTTTGTTAAAATCCCTTTCAATCTTTCCTTTTTTAGAGAAGTATAGCAAATAAAATGTAGTTTGTACTTTTGCCTTATATAAATAAAGTATATATTCTTTATTATTATTGAGAGTCAATATCTGTGGGATGTTTTAGCTCTTAATCTTAGAAAAAGTAATTGCTGTAGATGGAAAGATCATGCCATTGATCACTATGTTGACTATTTGTTATTACTCTATTCTTCTTTTTGCTCATTTAAATTCGACTATTTGGTTGTGCAATGCATTATTCCAGTTGTGGGTAAGTTTCTATAAATCATAGGCTCTCAGTAATGATGGTGTCCGGACATTGAAGTCCATATTTGGCCCCGATATGCCTTTCATAAAAGGACTAGTTGTCTGGTGCCATCTCAGTTGTTCCGCTTGTTTAAAAGCCATATAATAGCGTCCAGAAGGGAATAAAGGGGCTCTTTGCTTTGTGAAACGCCTGGCCACAAACCTACGCACACCCACACAGACACACACATACACACACACGCAAACACACACCAAGTTCTGTTGAAACAAGTCCTGAATAAACTGGGAAAGTTTATCCAAGTCTCTATGCATGTCTGTCTCCCAAGAACAGAGGTCTTCAGTGTGATGCTTTTTAGTAAGAAGGTCACACTAGTTCACCAGACTTGTCCAGGGGCTGTGGAGCCGATTGTACAACTTTTTTGATGGGATTCAAGGTTGTTCTTAGCTTTAACACGTTATATGACATGCCCATTTTGATTTACTTTTGACAGTGCTGAAGTTGGCTTAATAACAAATGTTTACTATTCCACAAAGGGCCACATAAAATGACACGGAGGGCTGTGATTGGTCCTCAGGCTTTGCTTTGGACTATCTTACATTATGCAGTATGGAATAATGCATAATGTATTACTTAATTGTGCCTATGCAAGTTCACATACTCAAAGAAGAGCTGTGGTACCACTTATTGTAGCCTCTCTGAGTGTAAAAGTAGACAGCAGTCAATTTTTGAGCAGACCCCAGAGTGAAGTATTTGGTTGCTTAATGTTTTGAGGCTTGTGGTTTATATCATTGTTGTACTGTAACTGTGAACTGAGCGGAAACTCTACCCTCCTGATGGTGAGTTTATGGTGTCAATAAAAAAACGACAAAACATTTAAATAATTTGGTTTGAACGTGTTATTAGAAGGATGTATTAACAGTATAGTTTTTGTTATGCTGTTTGTTTAGCGTTTAAATGCTTCTCATAACATTAACATACCAACAAGAGAGTAGAAAGGGAATGTGGTACGTGCATGGTATTGCAACAGTTTATCAATCACATAACTTTTGTCTGTCTGTCATTGTAAGTTCATACATGTTGTTATAGTCAGCCATTACTGTACAGTATGTAGGGATGGGTTTCTCTCAGAGACTGCCAGTACAATATCTCAATAGAGGGGGCTTTCAATTCAGTATTATACAATATATTTCTAAATGATTCAATACCACTCTGTAAAAAATAGAGCATTTTCGGCCCCTTATCCAGTGCTCTTCTCCATTTCAACAAAAATACGCTATTGGTACATTTAGGTTGTTAATTTAAGATGAATTGATATCGCAATATATCCAAATATCAAGAAAATCCCCTTATTTCAGATTCAGATCCGATTCATTTGCCAGTTGCAGCAAAACCACATTGGAATACATTTGCAAAAGTCCCCAGTGCGTACCAGACAAGAGCATAAATAAAACAAGGTAAAAAATAACAGGCAGAAAACAAACTAAGTGCAGGAAAAGGGCAGGAAAGAATGTTCACTGTGAAATCAACAAAAAGTCAACAAAAAAAGTTTCAATACAAGTGCAAGACATTGTTTTTTGTTTTGTTGTTTAAACGACCCATTCTTGCTGTTTGACACTGTCGACCATGAGATCTCTGTAAGAGGATCTCATGGTCGACAGTGTCAAAAGCTGCACTCAGATCTAACAGGATTAAGATTGAGACTTTGCCTGCGTCAGTGTTCAGCCGGATATCGTTTGTAACCTTGACGAGAGCAGTCTCAGTGCTGTGGTGGGGTCTAAACCCGGACTGAAACATATCAAATGAGTTGTTGATTATAAGAAATCTAGTAAGCTGTAGGTAGACAACTTTTTCAAGGACTTTCCCCTTAAATGGCAGATTTGAGATGGGACGATAGTTTTATCTTTGACGATCTCGTAATCAACCTGGAGGTTTAGATATATATAATTTAGTAACATACCTCTTATCTTTCTTTGACACATCTCCAAATGCTGTTGTTTGTTTGTGATGTCATAGTAGACTGTGCTATTTTGATTTTCATGAAACTCAAATGAATTATTTTGGACATGGCCAATTTACACTTCAAAGAAGCTATACCCGATTTATTTTTTATTTTTATGAGTTCATACAAATGCTTATTACTACATACAAGTTGTATAATAATCCGTAATTTAATTGCATAGTGCAGAGTAGAAATGCCCGCTCTCCTCCAATCACAGAACGAGTCTGCGTCCTCTAGCCTCTACAGCGCTGCTAAACACAGTAGCATGTTAGCAGAATTGGCTATAACTCCTCTTGCTGTAACTGCAGACACAGCAAAGTAGCCCAAACGACACAACAGTGAGGAAGAGAAGAGGGCACTAAAGCGAAAAAATTATCAAAGAAGAAATCAAGCCCGGGTGAACATAGCTAGCTTACATCGTATCCTCTGGAGAGACTTGTCTATGGGAGAGACCTGCGGGACCGCCTCGGACTATCTATGATCGGAGGCGGAACTAGCGGTAATCTTTCAGCTATATATTTTGTTAACAGTGCGTTGCTTTTGTACCATTTCATCAGTGATTGTTGTACAACTTACAAGAAGTTGCGCTCATGCTAATGTTTGCACACATATCAGATCGCAAATAAAACTAGAAGGCTCCGTGGAATGAGAGCGTAGGGGAAATGAGAAGCCTGTGAGCGAGTCGAGGGGCGGGGCTAAACATTCAAACCTTGCAGAAACTGGTATAGCTTCTTTAAATACAACCTCTGAATACGATATTGATGGATTTTTGTGTTGTTTTGTAATGAAATGTGGTTGTCCTCTCGTTCTCGCTCTTGGACTTCACATTATTAGATCCTCGTGGGGCAATTATTTCAAAGCCAGTGACAATTTCTTACAGTAAAACGGCCCCTTTGTGGCTGGCAGCTCTTCTGGGCATTGTTGTAATAGCAGGTGGATCTTGTTTGTCTGGTTCAGCCTTGCCTTCCCGTAGCGACAACTTTAAACCGGTTTGTGTGTTTCAACTTTGCTTGACTAAACAATGGTATTTAGAGTCACAGCTCATAAAGAAAGCAAAATCACAATGCTTTTGATGTATCCTTATGAGACAAAGAAGTGTTTCTGTGGAATGATTTTAAGTTCATATTTATGTGTAAAGAATCTGCACCTACAATTTGCAACAATATTTCTTTCTAGTTCTATGTAGTACTAAAGTTTGAAAAAAACAAAACATTTATGGACGTTTATGGACAATATTTATTGGTCATCCCGCTCCCTATAACCCTCTTATGTGTTTGTTATTATTGCATTTCCTGTGTTTAATTTTCTGATTTGTTATTGGATAATTGAAACGTTGCCATTTAGGGACATACAAAAATAAAATGTAATTTAATTGATTAGGGCTGAAACAACTAATCGATTAATCGACGACTAATCGATTATTGAAATAGTCGACAACTATTTTAGTAATCGATTAATCGTTTTCTGTTTCACACGGACTCAAACAGAGCAAAAATGACATGAAAATGTAGTATTTTTGATTAAAACCGACACAAAGAGCCTGTTACAAACATTTACTTTGAGTTTACGCCATCAATACGTCCTCGAGTGTTGCCACTTTAGCTTTTTGTGATGAAAAAATATTTTTTTTCTACACAATTCACAGCCAAGCGATTACTCGATTAATCGTAAAAATAATCGATAGATTAATCGATTACAAAATAATTGTTAGTTGCAGCTCTATAATTGATTGATTGATTTTTTATATTACACGAAGTGGCTTCACAATATTCATTCCCTCCCATACACTGGACTAAACAGTCTGACTCTCCAATGGCATATTTTGACTTATTCAAATGTTTGTTGATGCTGCACCTTCCCACAAGTAGAGATGACTTGCAGATCTTCATCTTGGTATTTGAAGAATTAAAAGCCTCCAGATAATTAAAAGTATAAATTCTACTTCCTTCTGTGTCCTTGAGTTCTCCAGGAGTGTAACTGTGGTGCAATGTAATGTGATGTGCAGTGTGCAAGAGCAGGTGCACTGAAAAAACATCCAATATGATACTAAGGCTGCAGCTATTTTGGTAATCAATTCATTGTGGTATAATCATTTAATTGAAAAATGTGTTTATCTAAATTTGAGCCCGATGAGGCACGTGTGTAGCGGCTTGGCATAATTATATTTTTAGTCAATTCCTGATTTTCGTATGTAATGTCTGCTCTGTGTGAGTCATACATCTCACTCACAGCACATCTGTCGGAGTCTGTATGCAGAACAAAGACTTCTTAGTAACTAAAATGTCTGACAGTTACGATACGTGTGTGATTCATCTTTACAGCCTTAATATCAAGCTTTCCTTTTGTATGTGTTTGTGTATTTCAACTTGTTGCTCAATTGCTAAAATAAATATAGTATGTAATCAACAAGTGAATAATTCAGATTCTGTTAAAATGATGGGTGCAAATTTGAAGTAAACCAAAAATAATGACACAATATTTGTTAATAAATTAATAATGTGCTTGAATTGTCAAATACATCTTGGCTTCATATTTAGCTGAGCGTTGGTGATTTTAATAAAACAATAATTGAATTGTTATTACTGCATTTATTGGTCCAACTGTAGTCCCTCTTTTCCCCTCAATGTTCCTTCATCTTTTGCAGATATTTTACATTCCTCTTCCTCTCTCACAGACCTCGCTGCTGTGTGACTGACGCCCTGTTGCCATGACGACCCACGTGACGCTGGAGGATGCTCTGTCCAACGTGGACCTGCTGGAGGAGCTGCCTCTCCCCGATCAGCAGCCATGCATCGAGCCACCGCCCTCCTCCATCATGTACCAGGTGAAGCCAGGCTCTGCCCCCCTAGTTAGACTATTTGCACTGTCAAACGTTTCAGTTTTTGTCTTCAGCATCAGAATTCATTCTAATTTTGTGTCAAACTCGATGTGTCTTTGGTGCGTGGATGATAATGGTGTTTTTAAAAAGTACTTTTTAGATGATTTATATAAATCCTGATCAACCTGTTTTCACATAAATCAACGCTAATAGACAAGTGCATGCTTTAAAAAGGGGTTGAATGATGCAGACCCTTATGGCAAGACAAGGCAAGTTTATTTGTATAGCACAATTCATACACAAAGCAACGCAAAGTGCTGAACAAAATATGATAGCATTAAAATAATGCTAATTAATTACAGTATATAAAGAAGAAAGATAAAAATATAAAATCCCTCAGTTGTGTGCACAGCTAAACAGAACTGTTTTTAACCTGGTTTTAAACATTGTCAGAGTGTGACTTACATATCAGTAAGGACCACCTCAAAAAAGTGATGATTCATTTTAAGGGCTAATCCATTTTAAATGAATAAACACATTACTCCAATCTCACAGAAGCCAGAAGACAACATGATACAACAGTTCATACTGTATTGTGTTGTTATGACATGAAACTACCACAGTCAAAACAAGGCAGGCGCACGCACTCCGACACCGGCCCAAACACTCTCTGACCCCTGCTAGTGATTTGTATTAAAATGAGTTTCGACTAAAAAATTGTTTTAATTATCCATTCATGTCCAGTTACATTTGACCAGAGAGTAATTACAGCATAATGCAAGAGATTTCTGTCTTGTATTAGCAATTTCGGTCGTATGTTTATTTTCTTAAATCAATTATTGATTCTGAAGTAACTTATATCACCCCTAAAACCATTACACATTACACAGGTTTGATAAATCTGTGAGGACTTTCCTGTAATGAAAAAGACTTTTTTCATGTCATGCTGTGAGACATTCCAAAGCAAGTTATAAGTTCCCATGGAGACAGAATGGTGGTTGACCCTTCACCAGGAAAGTGTAGCTTTCAATATAATGAACACATTTGAGCTCTGATTTCTTTTTAAAACCTTCAAATATAGAACCAAAGAGTTTTTTTTTTTTCCCCACGTTACCATGTGTAGCTAATGTGTTGTACAGTTCCAACAAGGCCTGCTTCTTAACCATACTCTTTCATCTCCCCTGTGTTTCTCCAGGCCAATTTCGACACCAACTTTGAAGACAGGAATGCGTTTGTGACTGGGATTGCGCGGTACATTGAGCAGGCCACGGTCCACTCCAGCATGGTGAGACGCAGCATCAATACTGTGATTAGCCAGGACATGTTTTCCTTATGTGAACTGCATTTATTACCTCTTTTATTTTTTTTAGCTTAGACAAAGTACGCTGTGGGAATCCAGTCCTTGCATTCAAAGAGTATAGTTTCAGTGGCATTGATTATCATTGAAGGCTTTTGTTATTCAAGCCTATGGCAAGACTGGCACATTCAGTTAAGGGTGAATCATGGCACGTCTAAAGCTCTCCTCTCCCGTGATGCTGAATGAATGGAGAGTGTGATTGGACTGGTAAAGAGGGGAAGTGGAGCTTTATTTAACCCGGGCTAAAGAGGAAGTCCCACGGAGGCCCAGTCTATTTGAGGACACCCCTCTCTCTGAGCGATGTCTCACTGACAGTCTGTGAACAATAGTTGTGTGTGAGAAGAAACAAAATCACATGTCCTGCCGTACTTTTTCTCTGATCTGTATTTGTATTTGTGAAATTTATTGATCCAGACTGTACAGGATAGTTTATTCCCAAACTCACAAATAAAGTATGGATGCTTCCAAATCCATTCGATCCATTTCAAATATATTTGCGTCCAGAATCGAAAAGGCCGTATTGAGTGATTCAATGTATTATGGATAATGATTCCAAAACCAAACGTTAGGAAATGAGTAACAGCAACAATTGGATAAGATTACTTCATACAGGGGCAATTCAGAGGCAGCCAGCAGTAATAACAATGAGAACTAGCAGTGATAGCAATAATAGTTTGATAATACATGAATACAATAATGCAGTAATGGTTGGTTGGTCATTTTAGACGATGATGGAGAACCGAACAGGCAGCGTAATGGTAGATGAAGAATTATTTAAGATTTGAGCTTTTGTGTTTGTAGAATGAGATGCTGGAGGAGGGACATGAGTATGCTGTGATGCTTTACACCTGGAGGAGCTGCTCGAGAGCCATTCCACAGGTAAATATTATACGTCCATCTGGTTTCCCCTACCGCTAAATACATACGTACAATAGGAAAAAAATCCTCCGCTCCAATAGTCCTGACCAATCCGAGCATCAACATCTGGAGATTGGTCCCCGGGCGCTGTTCTACGGCGACCACTGCTCCTGACAGAGGCCCTGGCGCCAATGATGGATGGGTCAAACGTAGAGAACAAATTTCCTTATGAGGAAAATAACGTATTACTAACAAACTAACTAATCTTATGCTTTGATTATTATGCTTTAAAAGAAAAAAAAAACTATCCCCAAAACAATATTTTTCACCTTCAAGTGGTATCTAAAGCCTCATTTCCACTGCGCCAAAACACAGATATTTTGACAAAAAACCCCAGGGCGGCTTTTCCTTACACACACGAGTTACGTGAGCTGGTGTCAAATCTGCTCTGTGTTTAACCCACCTCACAACCTATTCCTATTGTCGAGGCTGTATATAGCAGTAATTTAGAAGGCAATAAAGCCAAACTGTTCTATAGTCTGTTGCTTGCATGTGTGTCATGTGATCAAGGTTGTAAGTTAGTGTAAAGTAACAAGAGCTCTTACCATCAAAGTCTGTGGTTTTGCACACGCTGCTCTATTCTTTTATAAAGTTATCTCTGTAAAAAAAAATTGGTTTTCATTGCTCCGAATGGATAGTATGCTTGTTCTAGGCCATTATAATGCCTAGAATGTTTTGTCCCACTCAAAACATTTCAACATGTGTCTAAAAACATGGGGGAGCAATGGGAAGCCTTCACAAACACCATATCTTGTACTATGCATGTGTTTTTGTTCTCCAAAAAAAAAAATTGACTGATTATATTGTATTACAGTGAATCCAAGTATTTTTTAGATGTATTTACGGTTATATGTATTCCCCAAAGGCTTATAAACAGCGTTGCATAAAAGAGTGTTGAAATGGCGCCCTCTTGTGTTCCAAAGGTAAAATGCAACGAACAACCCAACAGAGTGGAGATCTATGAGAAAACTGTCGAAGTGTTGGAGCCTGAAGTCACCAAACTCATGAAGTTCATGTACTTTCAAGTAAGACTGATCTATTCTGAACCATGCCATTTTCTTAATTTTACATGCATTAGGTATATGGTTTATTTGTTTTGTTCTGTTTACTGATTTTTGTATGTTTTGTCCCCGTAGCGGAAAGCGATAGAGCGATTCTGTAGTGAAGTGAAGCGTCTGTGCCACGCTGAGAGAAGGAAGGACTTTGTTTCAGAAGCATATTTGCTCACGCTCGGAAAGTTCATCAACATGTTTGCGGTGTTGGACGAATTAAAGAACATGAAATGTAGCGTTAAGAATGACCACTCTGCCTATAAGAGGTACTTGTCCGCGTTCATTAAAAAATGTTTAGCTGTTTACACACAAATACTAACATAGGTTTTTGATCTTTTTAGAGCTGCTCAGTTTCTAAGGAAAATGGCCGACCCTCAGTCCATTCAGGAGTCCCAGAATCTGTCCATGTTTTTAGCGAACCACAACAGGATCACACAGGTTTGAAGCGTTTTTCCACAAGATTTCTTGACTTCATGACTTTTGAGGAGTTTTATTTGTTATTATAAATAATCATTTTAAATCCGTGACAAAGCCTTTGGCAAATTATTTGTACCTAATGTTTTTTTTATTGTTATTTTTTATAAATACATTCAACAAACATTTTTCAAAAAATCAAACCTAAACTAGCTTTCTTCATCTAAGTAGAAAACATTTAATCTTTTGCACACATTTTGTTAGATTTTTTGTTGTCATTATTTGACACGTTTGACTGAGAGTGTAGGAGGTCCTCTCATTTTCACTTTTGAAAATCTGATCTAAAGATGGGTGCAGAAAAACATGCACTGTATGTGAAAACTAGTGTTAGAACTGTTTTGTGAAATGGTAACTTATGAGATAGATTACATAGTTACATGTTTGTGGTTTAATAAATAATAATTCCATATTTAAGTCAAGTCTAATGAAATAAATCAGATAATTATAGCAGCCTTTACACACAGCTGCAGACTCAGGGCGGACTATCCCTGCATCACCTCATGAGCTCACAGCCCAAGGTGTCATGGAATGACTCAAAAGGCTCTTCCCAAGTGTCTATGGGCCTCAGAATGATTGGGAATAAGAACCACGTTTCCAGTATAGTATTTTGAAACGCATACAAGATATCTTAAATTAAATAAGAATGCTGCTCATAAAGGAGGCTTTAAAATATCAAGAACGATACAAATATGGTAAAGAATTTATACTGTAACACTCTCTTTCCAATCTTGAGATTTTCTATTTTCTTTGTGATACATTTTCATTTTAGCTGAAAAAGTGACTTTTATGGCTATTTATTGCTTAATTTAGATTTAGTAGCCAATCTAGGTGCAAAATCCGATAAAATACTGTATGCGTTTTTTTTGTGGTTTAGTTCAATTGGACATAAATCAGTTTTCCCCAATGTAAAGTTGTGTCCTTTTACTCACAGAACATTGATAAATATACCACTAAAATAAAGAACGGTTTAGAATGTGCTGTTGGCCGGTGGCTCACTGCTTAGCAGATATGGTTTTGATTTCACCCTCCAGACGGGGACCGAGAACATGGCGTTTGCATGTTCTCCTTGTGAGTGTGTAGGTTCCCTCCAGGTGCTCCAGTTTGCCCTAATACTAAAAACATGTACAATAGATCTGAGAGTGTTAGGCGTTTCACACCTGTCATCACCGTGTGTGAATGGACAACATTGTTTCTTCAAAAACATAGTAAAGTGATTTGTGTGCCCTTGGTCTGTGAAATGCAATACAATTATTTTGTCACTTACAATTCCGTGCCATTTTAAATTTCTTCTGTCAGCCTTAACAACCTGCTCATGTTGTCTTTGAACATAGACTATGATCCGGTGTCATGCTATCTGCTCTCTCGCTGCACAGTGCCTGCACCAACAATTGGAGGTGATCCCTGGCTACGAGGAGCTCTTGGCCGACATCGTCAACATCTGCGTGGACTATTACGAAAACAAAATGTACCTGACCCCCAGCGAGAAACACATGCTGCTAAAAGTACGGAAATCTCCCTTCATTATTGCCTGCCCGTCTGTCTCCTCGTTATAAAACACTTTACTCTGTGTGTGGCAGGTAATGGGCTTCGGTCTCTATTTGATGGATGGTAATGTAAGCAACATCTACAAACTCGACGCCAAAAAGAGGATCAACCTGAGCAAGATTGACAAGTTTTTCAAAGTGAGGCGCCGTCTTGTTTTGCATGTCTTTTATCCAACGAGCTGTTTGTGTCTGACCCGAGGATGTGACTGACGCCGTTTTAAACGTCTGCCGCAGCTTCAAGTGGTTCCCTTATTTGGAGATATGCAGATAGAACTGTCGCGCTACATCGAGACCAGCGCTCACTATGAGGAGAACAAGTCCAAGTAAGACAATGATTGAACTTATTACTGTACTGATTGAATTATTTATTTATTCTTTTGTTTAATTGATGGAGACAATGCACAGTAATGAAAACAAGTATAAAACAAATGTAAATATCCCGCATTATAGCTACAAAGCTTGTTTTCTTTTGTAGCCCTAAGCAGCCAAATACAGACTTTACAGCATACAAGACATACCAGACAGATAATACTTTATGATGCAGTGCTAGAGGAGCCGTTTTTTCACCAGTTATGTGTGCGTGTGTGTGTGTGTGTGTGTGTGTGTGTATCTGTATCTATGTATCTTTGTATGTGTGTATGTGTGTGTATGAGTGAGTGTGTTGGCAAAATAGTTCAATATTTACTACTTTGAGTTGCCTGTGAGTGTTACGACCCGAAGGACAAAACATATTTTAAGGACACAGAGACAGGTTTAGAGTTCAAAAATAATGATTTTATTTATACATGTTCTTTTAACTGAACTCTAGTTTGTTATTAATTAATATGAATATTAAATCAAACCAACCCCGTGTCCAGAATACAAAAACCCAAAGTAATCAAATTTAAGGTGGACCTGGTGGGCCAGCCAAAACAAACAAAAATGGGCCGACACCGAACCAACCCTATACAGGGCCGTCCGGATCCGATGCCGGCACCCTAACTAAAGAATAAACAAAACCCAACTAGCTACACCCTCAAACGAAAATGTAACCACCGGACCCACCAGATCAAACAAAAATAAATACAAGGATAAAATGCTAACCAAATGGCTAAAGAAACAACCAAACCATGCGGCGTCTGGGGAGGCCGCAAACCAGGACTAGGAGGGAGCGCGCAGCGCGTGCACGCTCACCTCAGCAGGTGTTTGCAAAAGGCTGAGAGCAGAGCGCACCAGGACAGCGCTTCTTATACTCCCGACCCGAGCTGCAAAATATACAAAATAAGATACAAAAACGTTATCAAAAATGCCACCTATAAAATATACTTATACAAAACACAATCTTACGAAAAAAACTATAAAACCCAAAAAATAACAGTGAGCATGCAACATAGATTGTCTTATGTTTTTTTGTTCCCATTATTCATTGTACAAATAACATTTTAAAGATGAGGTACCTAACTTTAAAGTCATGCAAAAATGTAACTATATAATTAGAATCCATGTAACTGGTACCTCACTCTCGTAACATATTTTATATCACTAGTTTGCCCATGTGCAGTTTGGCCTCTGTTTCATATTTAGATAAGGTTTTTTGGCCAATCAGCTCACTTGTTTAAGATAATATGTTTTCTACTAAGATGAAAACGGCATCTGAATGTGAAATATCTGATTTTTTTCACACACCTTTTACTTTTACAAGACTCTTCGGACAATATCTATTCAACAATATCTATTCTACTGTACATGTTAAGCACCTCAGTGAATAATCTTACAGATCTGCTACTTTGTATTTACAATCTCATACCACTTTTCGATTAACTACACTGTTACATTTTTATTACGTGCTATGTACATGCCTTGTCAATTAATAATTTCGAAATGGTCAAGTTCTCTGCAAAGCAAAGTTTAAAACAGAGCTGTATTTATGTATTAATCAATCAAAAGAGATTGAAGTATGTAAACATTAAGTATAATATTAGTTAAAAAGTGTTTTTTTTATTCTATACTGAAGGCATTGGGTAGAATATTTTAGCCTTTTATTCGGATTAAAAAATACATAGTCACCTCAATAATCAGCAGATGGAATTTTCCATTGCTGTTGACAAAGTTAAACTTGATATTTTAATATGTAAAAATCATAGCTTGTTGCAGTTGTATCATACACAGAGCTGGTTGAGCTGGGTTACATCACTGACCACTCCTAAAGCGGCGAACCCTTCAGTCACTTGACCGTCTCCTTTGCTCCAGGTGGACGTGCACGCAGAGCAGCATCTCTCCGCAGTACAACCTGTGTGAGCAGATGGTGCAGATCAGAGAGGACCACATCCGCTTCATCTCGGAGCTGGCTCGCTACAGCAACAGCGAGGTGGTGACGGGCTCCGGACTGGACTCCCAGAAGTCTGACGAGGAGTACAGGGAGTTGTTCGACCTGGCGCTGAGGGGGCTGCAGCTGCTGTCCAAGTGGAGCACACACGTCATGGAAGTGGTGCGTGGAGGACATTTACTTGTACAGCACATATATGACTCCTGAACAATAGAATCTGGCCCTTTACAATCAATTCAATTCAAATCAATTAATTTCAATTCAATATATTCTTGTGTCTGGCCTCCTGGTAACTCCAGACACCCTCTGCATGACACTATGGCCGCTCAGAGGGGTAATCAAAGCAACAGGAAACGGGAACGTTTCAAGAGATCCTTTGTTCCTTCGGCTGTCAGACTGTACAACAAACCTGGATGAGTCTTCTGCTGCTGGACACCTGAAATTCTCGTACGGGGGATCAATAAAGTATCTATCTATCTATAGCCCTAAATCACAACAATAGTTTTCTCGGAGGACTTTACACAACCGGTTTATTCGTCAACACAGATCAGTAAATCAAACTGTTAAAACACAAGAAAAACGGATAATAACTATTATTTCATAGTGATTCGACATAGTTATTCCTGTGTCCAAAAGTCCTTTTTACTTTTTAACATTGTGCATATGTTTTTTTCAATCCAATTCAATAACAAATTGAACATAAAAGTCTTCCCACTGTATAATTATTATTTTTTTATTTGCCACTAGACACCTTTTCTAATGAAATAATAATTTAGCATATTTGTGGACAGTTGCAGCAGTTTTAATTTCATATGGACTTTATTACAAATAAATTAACAATAAACTAAAAGTCTGACAATTTTATATTTTAGGCTTGGAATATTGTGATGTCTCGTGACCGCAACCTATTGTACTGAATTGGAAATTGATGTGTTTGAACTGGAAGAGCATCTGTATATTTAGAATTCAAAATGCACAATTTCACGTACTCCTTTAAAAAGGATCCTTAAAGGCACACCGTGTAACTCTTGGCCACTAGGGGCGCTAGACCTGCAACTTTCACGTTTAGCGCCCCTAGTGGCCACAAGCAACTCAGCACTGTCGCAAAAGTCAACAAACAGTCAGCCGGTGTCTTTTGAGTGTGTATTCAGACAGCATGCACTGGTGTGTGTGTTCAAACTGTAGAGACATGCCTACAGATATTGAGAGACTCTGCTGTGGTCAGCCTCCAGCCCGCTGCATTAGTAATCTACCACACATGGACTTCTATATCCTGGATGAGGGAGTTCTGCGTCTAGCTCGTGCTGCGTGGAATGACATCTTTGCGGTCGATGACATCCAGGAACCAGGTGAACAGCAGCGCTCATACAGACATGCAGCTTACAGCACGATCCCTTTCGCGTTTCCTCTTTTTAGCCTCCTCCGAAGGTTTAAAATTTTTCCTTGCCTCAGCCATGACCAGGAGTCGAGCAGGTGAAAAATGAGTAGCAAAAGCCTTAGCTCCATGAGTATATCAGCGCCTGTAGCCGTAAAGCAAGTCTTTCTTCCAAGTCACGTGACCTGGTGGCAGACGGTCCGTCTGCTCGAAACTTACATGGGCGGTATTTCAAGAGGGCAGCCCCGCTCGGAGCATTGCAAGTGTCAAGCGCTGTATATTGGCCCAAGTATTCATATAAAATAACTCATATGTGTCAACTCTTTAGGTCACAAAGTCCGCGGTGTGCCTTTAAATAAGAATCAAACCAAAAAAAAGACATTGATTATTTTTTACCATAACCATTATCCTGCTTTCTTCCCATCAGTACTCGTGGAAGCTTGTCCATCCCACAGATAAGTTCTGCAATAAGGACTGCCCCGGGACAGCTGAGGAGTACGAGCGAGCCACACGTTACAACTACACCAGTGAGGAGAAGTTTGCCTTGGTGGAGGTCATTGCTATGATTAAGGGGCTGCAGGTAAAACATGTCCATCAATCGCCATTGATAAAAGAAAACAATAGATTCTTTGTTAAGCCATAAAAGAAATTCCAATGTATTGACAACTTATTAATGATAACTATGTGTTTGCTTATTCCTCTCCAGGTTCTAATGGGTCGAATGGAGTCTGTGTTTAATCAGGCCATCAGAAACACCATTTATGCTGCTCTACAGGACTTTGCCCAAGTGACCCTTAGAGAGCCCCTGAGGCAGGCTGTCCGCAAGAAGAAAAACGTCTTAATTAGGTACATTCTCTTAAGAGCAGGATGTGCATTTGTCTTTTAAGAGACTATTGTGTGAAAGTTCCACATTCATATTTGACTTGTTTTCTTCTGACCAGTGTTCTTCAAGCTATTCGAAAGACCGTGTGTGACTGGGAGGGAGCAAGGGAACCTCCCAACGACCCCTGTCTCAGAGGAGAGAAAGACCCTAAAGGAGGATTCGACATCAAAGTTCCGCGCAGAGCTGTGGGACCCTCCAGCACGCAGGTCTGGATTTTGTAACATGTAAACATCAGTTGTTTTTCACAGTAGGTGTGTTTAATAAGCCTCTGATCTTCTGTGATTGTAGCTGTACATGGTGCGTACCATGCTGGAGTCGTTGATAGCCGACAAGAGTGGCTCCAAGAAGACTCTCCGCAGTAGTTTGGATGGACCCATAGTGGTGGCGATTGAAGACTTCCACAAACACTCCTTTTTCTACACACACCTGCTCAATTTCAGCGGTGAATCCATAGTACAAGCACAAGCTCAAAGCTCAATGCTTTGAACACATTTTGTATTGATCTGCTCCTGTCTCTGTGTAACCCTCCTCACACAGAGGCCTTGCAGCAGTGCTGTGATCTGTCCCAGCTCTGGTTCAGAGAGTTCTTCTTAGAGCTGACCATGGGCCGCAGAATCCAGTTTCCCATCGAGATGTCCATGCCCTGGATCCTCACAGATCACATCCTGGAGACAAAAGAGCCTTCTATGATGGAGTGAGGCCCTAAATCTAATATGCGTTTATTCTCATGATATTTCCATGTATACAATAATTCAACTATATTCTCCTCTCTCTAGATATGTACTCTACCCTTTAGACTTATACAATGACAGTGGCTACTACGCTCTCACAAAATTCAAGAAACAATTCTTGTACGATGAGATTGAAGCTGAGGTGAGTTCAAACAAAATAAAGATTCTCTACAAAACCTAAAATAATCAACAACTTATTTGAATATATAAATCGTTTTCAATTCCTTTTTGCTTCCAGGTCAATCTCTGCTTTGATCAGTTTGTTTACAAGTTAGCGGATCAGATATTTGCTTATTACAAAGCAATGGCCGGAAGGTAGGGGTAGCTGCGTTTCCACTAAATATTTAATCATTTATTTGCCTCTTGAGATAAAGTCGAGTTTGTGTCCCACAGTGTGCTCTTAGACAAGCGTTTCAGGGCTGAGTGTAAAAACTATGGTGTAATTATTCCTTATCCACCTTCGAACCGCTACGAAACACTGCTCAAACAGAGGCATGTACAGGTAAAGTACAGTTTCACCTTCTCTACTGTAATTCTTCCTCATTAGTTATTAGAAGAAAATGACAAGTCTGTATGTTTTTTCAGTTGCTGGGTCGTTCCATTGACTTGAATCGACTCATTACACAAAGAATCTCTGCAGCCATGTACAAATCTTTGGACCACGCAATTAGCCGCTTTGAGAGCGAGGACCTCACCTCTATAGTGGTAAAGTCTTTGCTTTTGAACATGACATGGCCCACATCAAAAACTGACCTTTGAAATAAATGAACAAAAATAATCCAGTTTAATTTCTGCATGTTTTTGAATGCCCGCGTGTGTCATCAGTGTCACCAGCTCCTGATGAACGCTCTGATTTTGGGAAGTCGAAAGATTACGTAGCTTTTTCAGACTCCCTGAGATCACATGCACGTTTTATAGTGTGATGTTATTGTACCATGATGACATCAGGCCTGACAACAGGCTTTTTTCTAGTCTTATTTTTGGGAAATACTATGACGTTCTTCACAAACGCATTACTTTTAATTGTCAGCTTTAAACTTATAATGTCGTATTTTACGGTCTGTCCTGTCTTTGTTTTGTCTTCTTGTGTTTCCTCTGTTTGTTTTGTCCTCTTGTATTCTATCTTATTGTTTTAACTTTATTACTGACTGTGCAGCACTTTGTAAACATTGTTTTTGAAAAGTGCTTTACAAATAAAGATTTATTTTTATTTATTTTTATTATTACTGTTACAGCTGGTAATTTTCCAAAAAAAAAAAAAAAAAAAAATCTACTTCTCCCTCTGGTGGTTGTATAGGAAAGCATGTTTTTATTTTATTCTTCAGATATTATTTCACATTCTAAATTATTAAATGACAAAGCAATAAAGTCTTTGTATAATTCTTAATGGAAAATTACGCACGCTATGTATTGTAATTGAAATTTCAGTGTTGCATCAACGCTTACAGAACTGTATGAATGAGGAGTACACAACACAAGATAAATGCTTTGTACATTTGCTTCTTTAAAATGTTAATCTCCAACACATACTGTAAGCACTTAAAAGCATCTCTTTACATCTATTGTGTGTTTTTTCTTTTCAAAGGAGTTGGAATGGTTGCTGGAAATCAACCGGCTGACTCATCGGCTACTTTGCAAGCACTTGACCCTGGACAGCTTCGACGCCATGTTCCGCGAAGCCAACCACAATGTGTCCGCTCCCTATGGTAGAATAACTCTGCATGTCTTCTGGGAGCTCAACTTTGATTTCCTCCCAAACTACTGCTACAATGGCTCCACAAACCGGTCAGAGGATTGGTCTCGTCGCTACTGTTTTTGAATTCACTCTTGTGTGCTTTTTTTGTTTACCGTTAATTGTCATTTTCAGTTTTGTGCGCACAGCCATCCCCTTCACACAGGAGCCTCAGAGAGATAAGCCAGCCAACGTGCAGCCTTATTACCTTTACGGTTCAAAGGTAGCACCTCGATTCTTTTGTTTCTCAGACAATATGACGTACATTCTTTCTCAGACTTAAAAGTGAAGTGACCACACCCATTCAGCCAATCAGCTTTCAGCCCGAAGCATCATATAGTAACTTACATGGTTCTTTCATACACATATGCTAAAGATAACAGTTGTGGTCCGATTTGTTTTTACAACTTTTTACTCTTAACTTCTGTTGGATCAAACACTATTATTAACCAAACAAAAACTTTACCATTCCTCAACTTTAAAGTAAGTAAGCAAATAATAATCAAAAATCAAACAAAACCACAACAATGAAAAGCTACACCACAATGAATCTAGGACAGAGCTATATTTTGACCTAGTTTTATATTTTTTCCTTTAACTATTCTAAAATAGCCGTCCCAGATGACCACGCGTCTGTCCCTTCTTCTTACAGCCTCTGAACATCGCCTACTCCCACATATACAGCTCGTACAGAAACTTTGTGGGCCCGCCTCATTTCAAGACCATCTGCCGTCTCCTTGGTTACCAGGGCATCGCTGTGGTGATGGAGGAACTGCTAAAAATTGTCAAAAGCCTGGTATGTACTCATATTTGGCTAATATTTTAGTTGGCAGTGCGTTACATCCACCCAATGCACTAAAATTTCGCTTGAATTTACTATTTGCAAAGTAATAAAAATCTTTATCCAGTTTTTCTATATTCAGTTAATGTCTGCAAATGTCTTTTTTTGTATTTTATTATTAATTCTAATATTTTTTCCCTCATAATCCATATTATCTTGCTATTTTATCTAGATCTTTCTGTACTTTCTATCTAATTTCACCTCTATTTTGTATGATAGTTACAAGGGACCATTCTCCAATATGTGAAAACGCTGATAGAAGTTATGCCCAAGATTTGCCGCTTGCCTCGCCACGAATACGGCTCCCCAGGTGAGAAAACCATCTTCTTTGTGTCTTGATATAAAGAGGACTCTTTCTCTTTACATTTTATTATAATTATTTAGAAATATAGTCACATCAAAAGAGAACGACCTATGAATTCTTACTTTTAAATGCAATTTCTGATGAGATGTTGGCCTCCTGCGTGTTTCGATTAACTTGATTTACAATGTTTAAGGTAGATAAAGTCTGGAAAATCTAAACTCTATTGTTCTCTCATCAAAAAGATCCATACACGCTAATATCAGTAACCTCTAGCACAAAAATGTAACTCCGCCCCTTCTGTCTAACACCTCCTGTCTCAGTCCTGTAATAGGATGATGTCATTGTGACGTCTCTATGACATCACGCTCAGAGCAGTTTTCTTACGTTTAAGTTTTTGGCATTTTCTCAGGGGAGATCATTGCTAGGATTTTTTTTTATTTGAGGAAATACCAAAACAAATGCATCCCCTCCCTCTGGTGGCAGCATAGGGAGTTACAGCCAGAACACTTTTTTTCACCATATATTTTCTACGAAATATTATTTCACATTCAAAAACATCTTTAATATACCGGTACATTCTCTGGAATAGCCACACAAAGCAATAATATAGAGACTGACTTATCTACATTTTAATAACCTTTAGTGCTCTACTTCAGCCTCTCCTGTATTTCAGTGAGCACAGTTCCATATGTAGCAAATGGAATAGACAGGTCCACACGAGGGAGCAGTGAAAATATTTGCTGCCTGCTCCTGCAATAGGAAACTGCTGATGACATGCAAACCTCTATATTATCTGGACAGAGACAAACTGCGTGTGAAAACATTGGTAGATTTAACGAGTCAGTTGAGGACATACCGGATAAACAGTCTGGTGACTACATTACTTAACATTTCATATCTTGTGAATGAAATACGTAATCTACATTTTTTTGTTTTCTTTAATAATCACTTAATAATCAGTCTTGTAAAGGTAAAATGTTGTGAAAAATCAGACCATCTTATTAGATTTTTTTTTTGCATTTGTAAGCATGAGCCTTGTGAGTCACTATTTGACACTTGAGGCTTAGAGCTGGCTGAGAATTAACAAGACACAAAGTTTTTCTTCTGACTCTAAATAAAGTTAATTGTCATGCTACATTAGTGGTTATGAGAAGCATGCTGTGAAAAAGCACACAAAACTGCACAAAAAAAACATCTGCGAAACAGCAAGACCATAAAAGGTGAACCACATTTTCCCCCCACTGTATTGTGGGAAGAAAAACAAAAGAAAATCTAGTGATACAGTGATCTAAATGAAGATCCTCAAAACTCATCGGTTTTAATTTTTTATTTGTATTTGCACTGTTTTTACTTCTAATGTAAGGCAGCCTTGGGTGTCAAGAAAAGCACCCAAGAAATATAATACAAATTTGTATTATTATTATTATTATTAAGAAAAAAGCATGGGTGGTGTTTCCTTGATGTAAACCTTAGCACTGGCGTTTGATCATCATTGCATCATCACATTGTATATTTTTTTGTCTATACGTGGCCTATTGGCTGCAGGCCTAGTGTTAGCCGTTTCTGATGCGTTTGCTTGATGTCTGTACCGAATGTGGGTCAGGGCGTCTGTCAGAGCTCATCCATCCTGGCGACAATAGATTATGACTGAGATAATATGAGTATTAGGAGGTGCCATGTCTTGGGGCTGTGTAAGTGACGGCTACAATAAAAGAGCTATTTGTAATGTGTCTGGTTTTGTAATATCTGCAGCAGATGGCGGCTCCATTAACTGGCTCTCCGCTCTCTCTGACAGGTATTCTGGAGTTTTTCCATCACCAGCTCAAGGACATCATTGAGTACGCAGAGCTGAAGACCGATGTGTTCCAGAGTCTGAGGGAGGTGGGCAACGCCATCCTCTTCTGCCTGCTCATCGAACAGGCTCTGGTGAGACGTTTCAACAGAATCATACTGGCTTTATCCTGTAATTAACTGTACTAGCAAACAGTATAAGTGTAATTAGGCAATAGACCTCGGCTACATGCAAATTCATTAAAAAAACGCCTAATTTACTGCTCCTTCCTGCTCAATTCGATCAACAGAAGTGGCATTAAAAACTTCTTATATTTCACTTGGCCACACCTAGAGCTAGTCTCATAAAATATCCAATTTAAAGCTTAAATAAATATTGTTGCTGAATTTTTAACTTGTACTATAATGAACAGCACAGTGACGCAGCAGTTAGCAGGTCATGGGTTTGATTCCTCGGCCAGACTACATTCACCTTAACACTATATCTTGTACAGCAGGTATGAATGTACGAGGGTTAGGGTTGGGGTGAATGGATGATTATGATTGGAGGATCCCCCTCCCCAGGTGTTCGACGCCTTGCATATGTCATCACCGTGTGTGAATAGAAAATTACACCAAAATTGTAAAGCACTATATAGAGATGTATTATATTTAGATATGTAACAATAGGTTACAACAATATGTAAATGGTCTATTGAATTATGACTTATATTTAGAGGTTATTTTCTAAAACAATGTCTTATTTTTCATTTCACGCTGGAAACTACAACAGGTGGTAAGAATTTAGGGTTTTGTTTTCAGTAATCAGTGGATTGCTCTTATTGCTATGAGTTTTTACCCAATATTCTTTTTTTCACTCTGTACAGTGCCCTTTCACCCTGGAAGCAAGAGACAGTAGAATGAAATTCATGAATTGTTCTACATATTTCACATTAAAATAGTTCTACATATTTCACATTAAAATAGTTCTCCAAATGACTGACAAAACCTGACTTCTCCTGCATTTATTTGGAGAGAAAATCCAAACTCACCCTTGTCTTCCATGGGAGAAGTGGTTGTACTTATCTTTTTGGAGTGTCCAGTCTTTACATTAGTCTTTAGAAGTTTGTGATGCCTGTTGTGTTTTGTGTGATCATCCATTTCTCTCGTTTAACATTGCATGGCTCCTTTTCTCATTCATCACATTTAGCCAAAGGTTCAAGACGTTCCTTCTCTGCTTTATTCACTCTTTATCTGATTATTTGGATCACCATTGCTTAAATCACATGAGTGTCCTGCTGTGCGAATCTGCTAATACAATGATATCTCAATTCAATAAGACGTTACAAAAGTAAATCCTCATCTTTTGTATTTCTTTGCTTCTAATTGAGATTATTACAATTATATCTAACCTCCATAACTAGTGTCTCATCACATGCTTTGGCATAACATAACATGATCCTTTGCATATGAGCAGTTTAATGCATACAGCATAAATGTAAGCTTTATATTAGAAAATAATGGAATCTTGCAGAAAGAGATCGCCTACAACATCATCTCATGGCTACATGCATGCTTCATCATGGTTTTCATTAACATAGATGTGTTACACTGTTCAATAGGGCTGTGAATGACCACAGACATGTTTGGTTGACCAGTGATATGGGATGTCAACGGATTATTCAACTAAAAAGGGAATATTTGGATTTCATCTTCTGGATAAAGTATACATTACTTGCCTTTATCCAGCTCACACCACATTTACAAGATTGCACATAGATATTATTCAGACTAGAAAACAGTAGAGCTATGTGGAACAATTAGATTAGAATAGATTAAATTCAGTAGATTAGAATAAAAAGTCTATTTACCGTACTTCTGTAAATTTACTGTAAATGTAACTTACAATGTGAAACTAATGTAAGACAGACTCATTACTTTATTTGTCATAATGTTGATAATTATGGCTCAAAGGTTGTAAAAACCTCAATAAAGTTAGAATTTGAAAATTATAATGTATCGAAACTTTTGAACGATATTCTATTCGAGTATCACCTGTATGTCCTGAATGTCAACCAAAAATGTCCAGCTCCTTTGAATTTTTGCCTTTGTTTCAAGTGAATCTTTATGAGTCAAAGTATTTAGTCAACTAACACAACTTTTGGTTGATTCCAGCAACCGTTTAATCGAGGACAGTGCTACAGCCCTACTGTTCATCATAGACTGCCCAAATTGATGTGTTTTGCTTTATTCTAGTCCCAGGAAGAGGTGTGTGATCTGTTACATGCTGCTCCGTTCCAAAACATTTTGCCAAGAGTTTACATCAAAGGTAGCGTTATATACGTTTTCATTTTTTTCCCTTTTTTCAATATTGTCATTCCTGTGCGAGTTCATTAACTATGTTTTGCTTGCATCACAGAGGGAGAGCGGCTGGAGGTGAGGATGAAGAGGTTGGAGGCCAAGTATGCGCCGCTCCATCTTGTGCCGCTAATCGAGCGACTGGGCACGCCACAGGTCTGGTACCATCTTATATTTATTATAGTAGTGTTGTCCATATTCTATTTCCTCCTAACACCTACAACTACACTCAAACAGCAAATTGCAATTGCCCGAGAAGGAGACCTGCTGACCAAAGAGCGTCTGTGCTGCGGCCTGTCCATGTTTGAGGTGATTTTGACCCGAATCCGCAGTTTCCTTCAAGACGGGGTGTGGCGCGGCCCTCCTCCCACCAACGGAGTGATGCACGTGGACGAGTGCATGGAGTTCCACCGTCTGTGGAGCGCCATGCAGTTTGTGTACTGCATCCCTGTGGGCACGCACGAGTTCACAGCAGAGTAAGCATGACAGGACTTTTAACACCTCTGTCGAGTTGTAAGCTGTTGATGTGATTTTATATATGTGTTTGTTTCAGGCAGTGCTTTGGAGATGGGCTGAACTGGGCCGGCTGTGCCATCATAGTGCTTTTGGGACAACAGCGTCGCTTTGACCTCTTTGACTTCTGTTACCATCTGCTCAAAGTCCAGAGACAAGATGGAAAAGATGAAATTATAAAGAATGTTGTAAGTTGTCAGAAATATTAAATGAATCAACTCATGTGGCATAACCAAAGATTAAGTTCAGCTTTATATGAGTCGAGATCATCAAACTAGAACACAAGATACAAAACCACCTTGGAAAAACTGTGCAAGACTACCCCAGTGTGTACAATTTATACCCTTATATTATATGGACTATATCTTATCTTATCTATAAAATATTTCAAGCCTTTCACTTTCTGAAATGGCTGACATACTGTTAATTTCACAATATTCACATTTCTGAGATGTGCTTTTGAGATACGTATATATTTGATATTGTGTTCATTACGCCATTTTTTCTCTTCATAGCCCTTAAAGAAGATGGCAGATCGCATCAGGAAGTACCAGATCTTGAACAATGAAATATTTGCCATCCTGAACAAGTACATGAAGGCTGTGGAGACAGACAGTTCCACCGTGGAGCATGTGCGTTGCTTCCAGCCGCCTATTCACCAGTCTCTGGCCACCACCTGTTGAGAATAGACTCTCCACACATGCACACACAAACACTCTCTCTCACACACACGCACACACACACACACACACACACACACACACGCTCCCTTATCTATGCCCCTGACTTCGGTCTGGTTGATCTTATGGGATAGGCTCTATAATGGGAAATTAATCCAAAGACAAATCTTCTCAAACGGTCCCTTTCTCTGTAAAGGACTGTCTTTATAAAGCTTTTCCCTTAACGTCAACAAGCGAAGAGCTAGAATCTCTCCATACACCTTTTTTATTTTCATTTTATTTACTCAAACACTGACGTTTTCAAACTCATGCATGCTTCCCCCCCCCCCCCCCTCTTCCTTTGCACAACAGTGGTGTAAACCATGAAATACAAAAGAAATTCTAAGTTTTGGACATAGTATTAAAGTATAGATATTGTACTAAAAAGAGCTTATGAAATGAACACTACATTATTAGCTGTTTCGTTCAACACATGCTTCTTACAGCCCGTGCCGCGACACTAGTACACCTGTGCTGGTAATCCACAACTCTCATTTCATATCCTCTTTTGGTAAAATAATCATCCCACCCCATCATGTATGCCTTGATAAATGCTTCACGCTTTACTCCTGCTTGCTTCCTGTTAAATGAATTAATAGATTTCTTTTTCACACACTTTCACAAGCTTTTATTTCTTTAAACATTTTAATTCGTATCAGGTCCACTGTAAATTTCACTATTGAACTAAGTGAAGTGTTGAGTGTTGTAATTGTTATTGTTTTTAATTCTTAATAATTTTTTTTGCGCATTTGGTACATCTGCCTCCCACTGACTGAAACCTCATCAATCTCCTTTTCTTTCATTGTTTAAAAGATTTTATATTCTGTATATGGAAACAGTGCTCTTATTTAAAATACTGGGATTTACATTCATTAATTTAGTTCATTGTGTCTTTTTCATTGAGAAAAGAATAGAGACATGTAATTAGAGAATACCTCTAGTTGTATAAAGACAATGCTGTATTAGAAGCTGTTTGAGTGTGAATGAAATATAGCTTATTGGTCTGTGTGACGTTTGAAATACTCTGCACATTATGTTCAATGGTAAGAAAAAAACAATAACTAAAATGTCAGTTATAATTAAAGGGCAATTTACTAAATATAGCCAGTATTGTTTTCTTTAAGATTTAGCAGTGTTATTGAAATATGCAAACTATCCTTGTGAAAAGGAATTGAAATATGACTCATATAAAACAGCCCTGTGATTTTTGTTTTGCTCTTGTTTGAATGACAATGGTTTCTTTTGTAACTCCAGTGTTTTTATCATATTTATTCAAGTCCGGTTTACTTTTCATTTAAAGATATTAATCTAGTAAAAATGAAGGTACAGATGTATCCTCTTGAAACTATTGAAGCATGGCAAGTGTAATTTATTGTCATCAATGGCTCCATTTGTGACATGAAGCTTTGTTTATGATATTGTTGTACAAGTGACTATGTTTTGAAGTACAGAAAATTATGAAATATAAAATGTACAACAATGGTCCTGAAAAGGATACACAACTATGTTGTATTTCCATGAAATAAAATGGTTTAACTGATGTAATAAGTAGTTGTGTCAACTGTTATTATGTAATTGTAATTGATCAATTATTGCATTACAACTAAATTCTGAACATTAATGCATAAAAGATGCATGTTTGAATCATAGAGGTGTGTATGCACCTCACCTCCAGAAGAGTACTCCATTACAAGTCTATGATTACAAGCATATAATGGGCGGGACGGTGGCTGAGTGGATAGCACTCTCGCTTCTCAGCAAGAAGGTCCTGGGTTTAAATCCCAGTCAGAACAGGGCCTTTCTGAGTGGAGCTTGCATGTTCTCCCCGTGTCTGCGTTTCCTCCGAGTGCTCCGGTTTCCCCTACCACTAAAAACATGCACAACACGTATGAATGTAGATGAGAGAGTGAATGGATGGTGTTGATTGGGGGCTGATGGTACTTACTTACTTACTTACTTAGATATGATTTGCACATTTTTGCCCTTGTGACGGAACAATAATGCATCCATGAACAACATTAATGTCTCTGTACGTGTATCGTCTCACGACTGTAGCGTCGTTTCAATCTTCCCCCTCTTCACCCGAAAATAATTCTGCTAGCGTGATTAGTGCATACAGTTATTGGTCATGAATAAACAGTAGCACAACCATAACTGTAAAAATGAAGAGCACAACACGTTTTATAACAGATCTATGGAAGACTGGAATAACTCACTGTTGGGAAGGGATCATCTGAGCGTTTGTGATTGGTCAGCTCTACGTAAAATTGCGTATGACGTAGTTTGAATTTTCAGCGGGGCTGTTGTCAACGAGAAGCTGAGCAGCGGCTTGGTCTGTTCGTTGCTTTTGAAGACATTGTATAATTGTTCATCATATTTTCATCATAGATGTCTTTCTCAAAAGCTCCGCTGAAGAGATTCAACGACCACGTGGGTACGTGTACGTTCATGTAACGTTACTAACACGTTTTGTGAGGGATGTCAACGTTTTACGCTAGCGTTGGTTGTTTGCATCTAGTGTTAGCCATGGATCTGTTATGGTGTCAGCCTGTCGCTGGAATCTGCATATTGTTTTAGACCAATCTGTTAACTAGAATGTCAATGTTTGTAAAGAGGGAATTCATCTGAAACAGTCTGTTTCCTCTTTAGGCTGTGCTCCTCCACCGGGGACGTATGATGTCAAACGTGAGGAACTCAAAGGAGCTGCGTCCTTTGATAAGTCTGAGCGATTCAGACCAGTTAAACATGGTGAGGATCTATACACGGACCACACGATAAGAGGAAAATAAACCCTCTACTTATTTTACTAATGCACGTCGTTCTCAGCAGCAGCTGCCACCACCCTTCTGCTGCCTCCATCCCCTTCCAGGGCGGCCTTCATGTCCCCTGTCCGTAGGACCATGTCTGTGGACGCCCTGGTAAGTACTTTTTGATAGGCAATGATTGCTTAATGAAACAAATCTACTATTTTTGTGAAAGTCTTTGTGTTGATCATTACTACTTTACCCTCCCTATTTATACTGAATAGGCTGATGGTGCAAGTACAAAGAAAGAAAAGATGAGTGTCAATCTGAAACAACAGAAACTCTTGGAAAAAGAGGTATAGTTAAAAGTGCAATAATATAATCAATAATAATGTAATCATCAATCGCAGTTGTAACGTTAAAAAACGTTCTAATAAGCTCTAATCAGTCTAATATGCTCACATTTCAGGTCAGAATCTTGGTGCAGCAGCTGGGTGAGCAGGACAAGAGCATACTGGCTCTCGAAGAAGACTTGAAGAAAGCAGAGGCTAAACTATTGGCTGCGGTCAGAGAGAAGACTGCACTCAATGCTAATGTTGCCACCCTTGAAAGACAAAGAGCTGAACTTAAAAAAGTCAATGAGTTTTTAAAGAATAAGGTGTGTTCTCTAATTCAATGTGATTTATATTAAATTTGTCTAATTTTTATTTGTTTTCTAATCATAAGGTTTCTGCTGATGCATCGAAAAAGAGAATCAATTCTCTCACAATGGACCTAATGGAGGCCAGAAACAATTTAGATGCAAAAAATAAGGTATTGTTGTATTTACATTACCGGTACATTAGTTTTTTGTCATAGTTAACAATTTATGTTGCATGTTCACCAGGAGCTAAATGTCTTGCGTGTCAGCGCTGAAGGCCAAGTGAAGGCGTTAGAAACTGATCTGAAATCAGCAAAGGAAACTGTAAGGTCTCTAAAGGAGAGGAATGTGGAATTGGGTAAGTCAAAATTATTTTAGTGTGAATCCAGGCTGATCATTAATGTGTTATGTCTTATTTCGAAATGTAGACAAGCTCCATCAAGTTACAAGCAGGCAGTTTGAAGAAGCTGAAAACGAAAATGAAAAACTGCAGAGTGAGTTTATTTTTTTTATATACATTTTCACACATAAATCAAGAAAAATAGTTCAATTAAGGTTAAGCTCTCCATAACCGTAATGCAAATGCATCTATAATATTTTAATTTACCGGCCAGTCCACGTGCCCTTCTTCACGAGGTGGGAAAGACCATTACCAGTCCATGTTATATACAGTACACACTAATAGACTTTCACTCAAGTACAATACAATACAATTTATTCTTGTATAGCCCTAAATCACCCCCAGTCGTCATCTCAGAGGACTTAACAAAACCAGAGAATCAACAGTTTAACAAATGTTACAAAATGGTTTTTTATGTAGTTGTCATCAGAGAACTTCGAGAGGAAATTCAGGTGCTGCAGAGATATCTTGATACCGCAAATGAGCAAATTCTGGTAAAACTTGTGATCTTCAAAATATTTGATTTTTTTTATTTTTATAACTGACCATTTTTTAATAAATTTTATTGTTTGATTTTAATAGGATCTTCGCTTGAAACTGGAGCAGACAGATTGTAAGGAAACAGTAAAGTAAGTTTTAATGGCTTCTGCTCAACTCATTTCTTGAACAAGGATTGAAACACTTGTTTGTCAACCTTGCAGACAGCTCGAGTTAGAAAAGGAGCAGCAGATTGCACAGCTAGAAGCTGCCAAAGAGGAGCTAAGACAAAGGGAGAAGGATGCGCTGCATTACCAGCAGGATTTGGATTTGTCAAAGGATATTTTACGGGAAATGGAAAGGACACTGGAAATCCAAGAAGCGGAGTTGAAGTCCTCTCAGAAGTGTGTGAAAGACTTGGAAGAGCAAATGATGGCTGTGAATAAAGAGCTCCAGGCGTCACATGCCACAGTCCGCCAGCAGGAGGCGGAGCTCTCCCGGCTCAGAGAAGTGCTAAGGCGAACGGAGAACGAACTGGATGAGCGCGTGGAACATCTGGAACAAAGATGCCTCTTTGCTGAGGAGGACAGAAGTAAGTTTCACTCAGTCATAATACATGTAAACTTTATCCACTTATTGTAAAATTTATGCGTTATCATCTATCAATGATAAAGTAATTTCTCTCAGTTTAGTTAAATACTACCTTTATTTTGTGTAATCGTCTACATAAATAGATGAAGTATTTTACTGGTAAAGACTTTCATGTTGAAGCATGTTACATTTGCAACTTGACGTTATTGTGTTTTGTGCTTCTTGTAACCTGATTATTGTTCATAGGCAAGACTCAGAAAGAAGGCCTTAGACGAGTGGAGGAGCTGAAAGCGGAGCTTAACTCTCTCAAAGAGGCTAAAAAAGAAGAGGAAATGAGACTCATTCAACTTCAAGAAGAACATGCGGCCACCTCAGAGGAGCTGGGCAAAGAGAAGGTTATATGACTTTAGTGTGACATTTCTGTTTTTTGTGGAAATAAATATTTACATCTCTGCTTAATTAAAAAAGTGATCTAACTGTTGTCTCATCATTTATGAGCATTCACCCCACAGAAATGTTCTGACACTACTTGTTAATCAGCTGCTTATTTCTCTTCCTGGGATGTCAACAGGCACTTGTGGACTCTCTGACGGTGCTGCTGATGCAGGAGAGGGAGGAGTCTGAGCAGAAGATGGGACAGCTGAAAGAGGAGATGGAGGAGGTCCTGGGGGAGGTTGCTGTCATGGAGGAAGAGGACCTGAGGAGACGCGACGTCATCATGCAAAACCAGGAAGAAATTATGAAGCTCCAGACGGACAACGTGGAGCTGGAGAAACTGCTCAGTGACACGAGGGAGCAAATGCTTAGGTGTGAAATAATGACATGCAGTGGCAAAATCCATGTCTCAGTATGTGAACATAGGATTGAGATTACTTTATGAAGTTGATTGGGGGGGGCTTTTTTTTTGGACACTGAAATTTAATTATTTATATGTGCTATACACTACTGTAGCCACAGCTGCCATGGGGCAAACTGACAGAAGCGAGGCAAGTACCATTGGCCCCCCCCAATTATTCATTAAGTCTGTAGGAAATAAATCAATTCAATTAATAGATTTTTTGACTAGACTATTATAGTCAAAAAAATATAACTCCTGCATATGCACACCTCATGCAAGTTATGATTTAAGTCTACTCTTTTTATAATATTTGTTATACTAAATATCATGGTCAATGCATTTGTAGATTTTCGTGATATCTTCCTTAATGTTTATAAATTACACACCTCCAGTCTGGTATAAAAGTCGTGGATAAGTTATGCTTCACACATCATTTTAGAGCATTGCTCGTTTACCTTCTATATCGTATTATCTATTCATTTTTACACTTGTTTGCTACTCTTCATGTTATATTTGCAGCAACACCATTAACGAAGATGCTTTGAAAGAGGAACATTTGGCAGCCATGACGGAGCTGAAGGAAGAACACACAGATTCGTTGAACAAGATGGAGGCCGCCGTCTCCGAGCTCCAGAGGTGAGAGCAGGCTTTCTTTTGTGCATTTTGTTTCATGCCCTCTAACTGTGCATATGTTTAAGGCTTCACTCTGTCTCTGCACTCAGCACCAAAGAGGGCCTGATTAAAAGACAACAAGAGCTAGAAGGCGAGTTGCAGAGCGTGACCTGTAAACTGGAAGCGATGGACAAGGTGATACAAGAGAAGGAAGATGAGATTACAGGATTGAGCGCCAGTTTAAAGGAACACCTGGAGAGACTGGCGCGCGAGGAGCAAGCCAAGGATGAAAACGCAAGGCAAGAGTGTCAAACCCAATTTTACGCTGCTGAAAGCCTCCGCCACTTTTTACTCTAAACTCTTTCTTCTCGACTTGATAGGAAGTTGCTGGAGGTGCGGACCTGTCTCGTTCAAAAAGAAGACGAGATGAAGGCGATGATGGAGAGTCACGCGGCTCTGATCAGCCGGCTTCAGCTGGAGCTCGAGCAGCTGAAAGAGAAGGAGGACGCACTGGGGATATTTGAGGCGCAGACGGGCCAGACGATCGCTCTGCTCCAAAACGAGAAAGAAAGCGCCTACAAACTGCTGCAGGACGCCACGCGGGAAAACGAGGAGATCCTAAAGCAGGTCGAACGAGAGAGAGAGCGCGGAAAGGAAATGGAAATGGAGCTAAGCGTGGAAAGGTGCGCTCTAGAGGAAGTGAGGACGGATCGCGATTTTGTCAAGGCAGAAGTGGCCCAGCTTAAGACGGAAATACAACAAGTCAACGAGGACAAAACACGCATTTTATCTCAACTGAAGCACTCTGAAGACACGCAGCTTGACCTTGAAAACAGGCTAAAAGCAGCAGAACAAGATAAAAATGAGCTCGAGGCCCGGTTAGAAGAGGCGGAAACGGGAGAGGTCTTCCAGAGTCAGGTGGCCGGGTTGGAGGAGGCTGTGCAAGGGCTACAGAGGGAGTTGGAAGAGCATAAGCAGGATGGACGGGCTCTAAAGGAGCAGGCGGAGGTTCTGACGCAGGAGAAGGTGACATTGCAGTGGGAGATGGAGGAGCAGAGGCGGGAGTTCAACCGGCAGATTTCTGAAGCACAAGAGCAAAGGTAAAGTCAATTTTAAATCTGTCAAGTGCTTGGAAGTTGTACATGGACGTCTTTTCTCTTGAAGTGCTGCGGAGGTAGAGCATTGGAGGAGGCTGTACGAGGAGCTGCTTTCCAAAGTGGGGCCTTTTCAGGTTAGTTTACATCTTTGTGGTCACAGAAAAAAGTGCATTCTTATGATTCTGTAACTTTTGATGCAACACTGACATTTCCCCACTGTGGGACGAAAAAAGGATCTCTTAATTTTTGGTCAGAAAGTTAATACTTTACCCATTTGTTCAAATTATCAGGCAATTCAAGTATTTTGTGATTGTAGGAACAGCTTAACGCTTTTGCCGCCGAGAAGAACACGCTCCTGAATGAGAAGGGAGCCAATCAAGAGGAACTCAACAAACTATCCGACGCTTACGCCCGTCTGCTCGGTCATCAAAACCAGAGACAGAAAATCAAACACATTGTGAAGATCAAAGAGGAAAATCTGACTCTCAAACAGGTACTGGTCTAGTGGTCGCAGTCACCAGGGCGTGTTGTAATGGTTTTTCTCTGGTCGGGTATTTGTTCAGGAGGTGTCTAAGCTTCGCACGCTGACGTCTCGGCAAAAGAGTGAGATGGAGCAGCTGAAGTTGAAGCTCCCCGGGGCTCAGCGCAGGTTTGATCCCAGCAAAGCATTTCAACACGACAAGGAAAACATGGAGGCCCCCACACCACTGAGAGAAGGTATGTAGCCAGACACGGCCACCTCTGAACAGGCCCAACACCATGACATAAACCATTCAGAGACATTTCCCTTCTTATTTTATAGGTAATGGTAAAAGCAAGAGGAGCCTCTCAAATAACTAAATCCGTAATACAGTAGAAATGTTGTAATGTTTTTATATTAAGTGTATAGTTGTGTGATATAACATTTTTACTCTTCTTATTTGCTGTACATTTTTTATTTGGCTGTCCATGAAAGAAACTGCTGTAACATTGTACCTGCAAATAAAGATAATTTTAAATGACAGACAAAACTAGTAAAAAAAAAAAAAAAAAAGTGTTTGTTTAATCCTGTGCTTGTGAACTTAGTTGTTGCGTAAATTAATTGAACTTCAATATAAAGGTTGAGATTTCTCCTGGTGTTTTATGGGTCGGCCACCAGAGAGCACTCTGAGTCCATCTTGATTTTATTTGAAACTCCTACAAATCCCCTCCCGACACTGATGCAAAATAGTTGCGACAAATGGTTTTAGCAGAGTCTGGTCGTCTGCTTTGGCACCTCAAATAGTGATTCTTTAAAAAAAAATCTGAAATAATAGTTCTAATTTTTATTTATGTGTGTACTCTGGAACGAAAATCAATGACTTTCTACACAGCATGGTATATTTCTTTATAGGAGAATATTTAATGCACAAAACGTGTCTTGAATGACTGTAAATGGAGGTGTATTATATTTATCAGCACATGCCAAATAAAACGGCACATGTGCATTTTCCCTAGTTTAGTTCTGTGGTACATTTACTCCAAAGCTCATGCCTTACTCAACTTTGAATTATAGGCCTTTCCCCTTTGTGCTGTATTGAAAATGACTGGTGCCCATTACATAAACTCATTTGCAGCAGCACTCTAAGCACAAAAGTTCACACAAAGCCCCATTTTGAACCAATTTTAGAAGGCAGTCAAAGGGCTTCCTAGTTTGAGCTATTTTGGCCTTACTGAGCAGGTGCTGTTGACTTTCCTCTTAACTTATTTTGGAGTGAAGTAAAAGCCCCGAGGACCACACACTGAGAGCAGGGCAACCATGGCGTAGACCCCTACAGGGGCCACTCGGAGCCAGGGGCAGAGGTGGGAATGACACACTATTGCCTTTTAATCTCTAGCCAGGGGTAAGGCCTGCATGTCAACAGGTAAGTCTATGTAGAAGTATCCATTTTGGGACTGGGGAAAAAAATCCATTAGATGTTAGTTTATTTGGCCTAGGCCTCTTCTAACAATAGTTTTTGTTCATGTTCTTGAATTCTGTTAGTTTTTCAAATAAATAGTATATAGTAATTGTAACTCTATTTTAATTTTAAATTTATTCCTTAGTGTTTTTTTATTTTATATTATTTTATTCTCTCTCTCTGACTGTTGCACCTAGCCAAAGCAATTTCAAAGTCTGTGACCTGTTACTTACGTGGCGATAAAAATGATTCTGATTCTGAAATGTTGAAAATGGACATGCCAAAAAATTATTTGAATGAATTTTTAGCTATAATTGAACATTGCCCAGAAAGGTGCATTTCTGGGCACTATTCATTCGTTCTGTACACAATGGTTAATTACAACTAGCCACTGCTGCCCTGAGACAGACTGACAGAAGTGAGGCAACCAGTTGCTGCATCACCAATCATTCACTGACACATCAGACTCGTACTAGGTAATATGGGTGAAGTGTCTTGCCAAAGGACAAAAAAAATAATAATACTGTGTCTCCTGGTGTGCCTACAAATCTCCCATCACTATACTAACCAGGCCCTGTCCTGCTCAGCCTCTGAAGTCTGCTGAATCAGGCTTTCACATGCAGGTCAGAATCAGAATCATTTTTATTGCCACGTAGGTAACAGGAGGTCACAGACTTGGAAATTGCTTTGGCTCAGTGCAACAGTCAGAAAGAGAGAATAAAAAACACTTGTAAGGAATACATTTTAATTTAAAATAGTTACTATTTACAATAGACAAGTGCACATGGTGCACACAATGTAAGGTGACAGCAGTACAGTGAAGTAAAGTGACGTATGATGGGCAGTAAAGTGACTTTATAAAGGGCAGGGGGACAGGTTAAGAAGTGTTCAAGAGTCCAACAGCAGAGGGGAAGAAACTGTTCTTGTGGCGGGAGGTTCTAGTCCTGATGGACCGCAGCCTCCTGCCTGAGGGGAGTGGTTGGAATAGTCCATGTGCAGGGTGAGAGGGGTCGGCTGTGGTACGACCAGCCCGGCCTCGAGCTCGAGCGACGTATAGGTCCTGCAGCGATGGAAGGCTGCGGCCGATCACTTCCTCTGCAGAGCGCACAATGCGCTGTAGTCTCTGTTTGTCCCTGACTGTGGCTCCAGCGAACCACACGGTGACGGAGGAGGTGAGGATGGACTTGATGATGGCCGTGTAGAACTGCACCAACATCTGTGCAGGCAGCTTGGCTTTCCTGAGCTGGGTCTTCTTGATGAGGGAGCTGATGGTCGGCTCCAACTTGAGGTCCTGGGTGATGGTGGTGCCCAGGAAACGGAAGGACTCCACAGAGGTGATGGGGGAGTCCATCACGGAGGGTGGGGGCGGGGGGACAGTGCTCTTCCTGAAGTCCACAATCATCTCCACTGTCTTCTGGGCGTTCAGCTCCAGGTTGTTACCACTGCACCAGGACACCAGCCGGTCCACCTCCCTCCTGTAGGCGGACTCATCGTTGTTGGAGATGAGTCCAATGATGGTGGTGTCGTTCGCAAACTTGATCAGCTTCACGGAGTCGTGGCTGGAGGTGCAGTGGTTGGTGTACAGGGAGAAGAGCAGGGGAGAAAGAACACAGCCCTGTGGGGCTCCTGTATTTGTCTCGGACTCTCGGATTATATTCTTCCCCAGACTCACTCGCTGCTTCCTGTCTGTCAAGAAGTCAGTGATCCACCTGCAGGTGGAATCGGGCACGTTGAGCTGGTGCCACATGCCACATTTAGTCTGGTGTCATCCAGCGTAGATTGGTCCAAGAATGAAAAACCATTGGAATAAACTAAGACTAGAAGTTGGACATTTTTGAGCTGCCTTCCTTCACCATTTTAAACCTAACACCGAAAAACAAACTTCTCAGACTGACGCACTTTACTCACTTTGCACTTAAAGCAAAGATAAATCCACTCATCAATAACTATTATAAAAGAGCTTATGTGATTCCTAATGGCATTAGGGTGAAGTCAGGCTGATCTAAAGCCGTCGCTGATGCACAACTTTACCATAAGAATGAAATTGCAAACTGAACCAACTGGCCAACTCTAAATAAGGGCTTTAAAGAGTGAGGGAGACTGAATAATTCATTTGTTCTTAAAGAAAACATCAAAGGCATGGATAATACACAGAAAACTCTTGTGTAAAGTGCCTGTGTCGAATAACTTCAACAGAAAACTAAAAAGGGCCGAGTGATATGGAATGTATTAAAATATGTTCGAATATACTTTCCCGTATTCAAAAAGGACAACATACCACTCACTTTAACTATTTTTGAAACAATTCATCAAGACGATAAAACGTTTATTTTTGTTCAGCCCTAAATGACAACAGTAGTCATCTCTGGGGACTTTCCAAGGTTATTGATTTTCTCAACAGATTAGGGATCAGCGAATCAAACTTCAAACACTGGAGATGCAATAACAAATATATATCATTAATTGGTCCATAGGCAGTAGAATGGCACATGTCCATAAATACTAATATATAATTTGATGGAGACAATTTTGACAATGCAGTTTTCCAGTTCTTTTTAGCCAACATAACGTACACTGGAACATCTTCACACAATCATAAGTCAGGAAAGTTTGATAGATCATCAGTTGGATGTGTGTGAGCGCATAATGAAAGAGTTCTCAATAGAGAGAAATCTGGCCTTCAATGTCAGCTCTTTGTTACTTTCACTCAATTCAGTGATGGATTTTCTTCCATCCACTTGCTTTCAAGGTGAAAAACACATTTAGCAGTCATTTAGTAACGATATAGACTCATGGTGGACACTTTGCACTGAGTTGCAGAATATCGGATTGTAGATGAATCATTTTAACGGTCTTTAACAATACACCAGTGCGAGGCCTTACAATGTTGGCAAGTGTCAGACAGTATCTTCTCTTCTCTCTTGGCGGTGGTCCAGGCTCCTTGGCAGAGAAGATTGGCTGAATTATGGATCAGGCTCACGCTGCTTTTTACTTTAATCCTGGATTTATATACATCACTTCTGAAAGTTCAAATCTCCAGAGCAGATATGGAAACTGGCTTTGCAATGTCTGCTAGTGCAGTAGAAGGATTTGCTCTCTTGAAACCCCACCAACATATCTTTGGGTTTTATTTAGGATTATACTCCTGTCTATTGTTACAAATGATATCCTTTAAAAAAATATATATATCATACTAAATAGTGCTTTTTTGGACACTCTAACGTCTGGTTCATTTGTGCATACAACTCAAAGTTGTGTATGCAAAAAAATGTAACTCAATTACTGTAGTGTGGCATAGACTGCTCCAATAAAAAGCCATAAAGTAGCTCTGCCAAAATGTATTCTTTCCTTTCCCTTCCCACTTCCACAGCTGAGGCATAATTGAGGAATTAGTGGGAGGGGCTCAGAGATTTGGAACACCTTCCTCACTCACACAATATGCAGTCTGGATTTAGTGTCCTCTAATAAGTAGCAACATCCAGTCTTTATAATGGAGTGGGAGGGGTGGTCTGTCTTCATTTGCAAAAGACCTTCTATACAGTTAGCCACCAGCTCCTAAGCTATCATGTTTTCTCTTGACACAAGTACAAAAGCGCCGAATCAGTCCTACATAAGTGAATTGCTTCTAAATTATTTTCTGCCAGGAGAAGAGGAAAAGATTTTGCAGCCTCGTCACATCTTTAGATCAGATCAGAAAAAAGAGTCAAATGGTGACTCAAAGGGCTCCTTCTTAAAAGCGTTCAAAATATATTAATGAGATGATGACCTGCTGTCTGACCTGTTCATGAAGAAAAAAGTTAGGTCCAGCTTTAATTTTAATGAGTTTAATTAGGAAACTGGAGCAGTGACGGAGGATGTGTAATCCCGTTCTAGTATGTACAGCAAAAACTGCATGTTCCCTGTTGTCACACTCTTCTCCCT